CCATGAGCAGTAGAGACTACACATGGAAAGTGATAATGTTTTATTCTAGCACCAAGTAAGATCACACACTGCCATACAACAGCATGGGGTGTTGAAGTGCACATTACAAAGTTGAACAAAATTTGTGAATGTAAGTTTGGTAACTCACAACTTCGAATAGTATTTCAGTAACATCATGGTAAGTCAGTTTCATGTTGGAGACAAGCCCTACACCATGTAGTCAGATTCCTGGCTGTCAAACACAAGGGAAGCAACTCTGTATAGTCAACAGTAGTGCATTCGATAATTGGGTTACACGTCTGTTAGTGATTCAAGATAACACTGACTAGAATGTCACATGTTGAATGCCATGAGCAGTAGAGACCACACATGGGAATTGATTGAAATCTCACAATTGATGATTGGTTCAATACCAACGACCAATCATCAAAATAAAATTGGTTAGCGTCATTTTTTAGATTTTCCTATTCAGGTTGTAGTTGCAGATAAGTATAAAGAAAAAAACATTTGGTTCTCTGTTGTTGTTTTTAGAAACTGCACAAATTACATTAGCAGATTGCACATCCAGTGTAAAATGATTCAGTTCCAGTGTAACATTAACTTCCCAGATTCTTCAAGAAATATTCAGTCATGACTTTTCAGAAAGTGAAGTGAGTTTTCTTACAAATAAACACGTTTTCAGGCCCTGACAACGTCCTAGATATGTTCCATCATCAAGAATTTCAAACTCTATTACAGCGGTTCCAAAATCGTTTGTGTTCAATTATGAGCAAATGTGATCGATTGCTTGGTCGTTTGGCCACTGTGACCAATCTTCGATTATTTCAATTAATCGGACCACCACTACCACACATGGAAAGTGATAATGTTTTACTCTAGCACAAGTAAGGTCACTGCTATACAACAGCATGGGGTGTTGAATTGCATATCACAGAGTCATGAGGTCACAAAAAATGAGGTAAAAAAATGCCAAGGGTTTAAACAGAATGCAACTGTATTGATAGGCTTTCAGCATAATTTTCAATTCTCCACGACAAACTTCTTGTGTGCCTGAAGCACTAAAATGACAGACTTTCTTAAAAGGAATACTGAATCAGATTCCAAACAGGAACAACCCTGTTTTCCAATGAGAAAGTGAAACATGCTTGGTGTGTTCTTTACAACTTACATTTGAAAACAAGAATAAGACTTCTGCTTAATCAAACCATAATGTAAGTTCATTCTCAGGGCTCCAGATAATTTTTCAACATCAGTAGTACCTTCTCCTTATTTGTTCAATATTGAGTACTGGAAAACCTTAAGTGTACATTTAGAGTACTGAATGGAAGCTAAAGGACTATCAGTAATCTTGTGTTTCGTTTCATATATGCACCACAACATTGCTACTCTTGTGTAAACAGGTCAATAAACAATTAAAACAATACTTTTTTTGAGATAAATACGTCTGTAAATGATTCTAAGACCGTACACCATTGCTGTGGTATTTTTATCCGTACATATGCCGATAACCACTACATCTCGAGACGTTTCCTAAATTATTTCCAGGACTACCGTTGTGAGCAGACGTGTAAGTAATGCTCTAGCTATATCAAAATGGCCAATGAGAGTGTGTGAAGCAGACCAGTGACTAACACCATGAGCCACAACACACTCCAATAGGGCAGGATGATGGGCAATTAGTCCAGAAGCATAACTGCCTAGTTTTGTCATTTTCTTACAGTGCCGGGGATCTTTTCTAACCAAGTTCTCCACAAGCATGTGACTAGCTTGATATATTTACAGTTTCCTGCTAAACATTGAAAGGATTGGATTCCTCGTTTGAAGATGAACTTGACCAATGGATTGATTTTAACTTCAAACATTTTTATGAGCAGAACCAACTGTCACCTTCAAAAGCATGGATGAAAACTTGTAGCAACTCATCTAGACATGTTTATGTCAAAGGTGCTCATATACTGCATGCAGAGTTTCGAACCTTTTACGGATGGAAGGCGTGGGGTTGTATTTTAGCACATATTACCACTATGCTGGCTCTTAGTGTATTTCCATCCTTGATAAGAATAACAAATGATGACATCACAAGTGGGGTGCCATGTATATGTTCATGAAGAAAATTTTTGATGTTTTTATTGTGGTAGAAAAACTACCACAACACCCCCCTCCCCCCCAACATACACACACACACAAAATCCAACGTGGATATGTTAACACACATTATTGATTAAGCCCAAGGAAGTTAATAATTAAGGAAATTGGAACCAACAAGGCACCTAAAATCTCTTCAAGAAACAAAACCACAATATTTTCAAAAGGCTCATACTGCAGTCATAATAACCAGATCACTAACAGGTGCAACAATCTAGTTTTAAAACAGTCCAAATGGAAACATTTTCAAATCATACAGAATTCACAACATTCACAGACAGAAACCAAGTAAAACAATTCGCAGGCAGTTTGTCGTTGTCAACGGTCATAAAGAATTCATAACTAACTAGCGTATCGTGTCATGTCAGGACTAAAGCTAGCTTTAAGGTCAAACAGACCAGTCAGAGTTCTCTCCCTTGTCACATGTTGAATGCCATGAGCAGTAGAGACTACACACGGAAAGTGATAATGTTTTACTCTAGCACCAAGTAAGATCACACACTGCCATACAACAGCATGGGGTGTTGAGGTGCTTGTAGTTCACAGTGAACAATTGCATGTAATTTCTTGAAAAATTAAACTACAATATCAAACGTAAGTAAGCGTCTTGCAATCCAGAGGCAACCTGTGTGGTTTTATTGAAAATAGTTCACTCAAACTCTTCTTCCATTTACGCACGAAACAGCATCCATATCTTTAAACGACAGGGTGAGAACATTTTTGTATTTTGTTTGGAGAAAAAACACACACTGTAAGTTATCAAGGGAGGGGATTACATGACCAATTATAAACTTTGTGAGCGAGTATGGTTTTACCCCACTTTTAGCAATATCCCAGCAATCATGGCCACAGACACCAGAAATGGGCTTCACACATTGTACCAGAGGTACAGTTAAGCAGTCTAAGTAAACTTAGGCTCAGTATTATTCGTTACACTGCTATACTGAGTCTAACAAAACCTTGTAGAAGGTCGTGTCAGCTAACCTTTTGGACTTAGAACACAGCTTACCAAATCGCAAAAGTTAACATCGCAAAAACTCTAACGATTCCGAATTCTATTTTCCGTGCGATCGCTTCCAAGTGATACACGCAATGAGTAAACAGTCGCTAAAAATAGCGTTTTTATCCATATTCAAAGATGTCATCTTGCGAAAATATAAGCAAATAGTAACCATGTCATTAGAAACCCATAAGTGTATATACTGCAGGTAAAATATCTGTGTTTTATGCGGATTTTCGTTTGTTGATAGATCAGTGTCAGCGACCAGGGAAGAAAAAATCCCAAAACTGTTTTGTAAGTCCCGCCGAACCCTAACAAGTAGTCATTGTCTGACTGGTTAAATCCGTTCGTCCGTCTTGCGTTTGATTGGACAGTCATAGGTCGCTCAAAGGTTAGCTGACGCGACCTTCTACTAGGTTTTGTTAGACACAGTATAGCAGTGTAACAAATAATACTGAGCCTAAGTTTACTTAGACTGTACAGATAAGCTGCGTATCTGCGTAAATTATGCAAATATTTATATGAAAACTCAATTTCTATTAAGTCTATTGCGTACAAGTACCCTTGAATTATTGTAAATACTCAATAAATGTGATCTTACATGCGTACACACAAAAATGTCAAATCTTCGCTTGTGTACCGGTGGATAGATACAATAACTGAGGTATACTGAGAGGTTCTATTTCAGGACATGAACTTGACAACTTGCAGTCTTTCTTATCGTTTTTCATATTACAGATCAAATATAAATAACAAACACTAACATTTAAACTTAATGGAAAATGCAAAATACCCAATTGAGTTTGAGTGAGGCGAGTATCATTTATTTGGTTACTCAAAGGAAAATTAGGATACCAAATTGAGATGAACACAAGTGAGTACATAACTTAATGATCCAAAAAGTTATCTGTAGCTCTGTGTACCAATGTGGGGAATTGAACCTGGGTCTTCAGGGTGACAAGCAAACGCTTTTAACCACTAGGCTCTCCACCGCCTCAATAAATTTGGTAATTGTACTTTATGTAATTAGAATTATCACAAAAGTGACACGATGCAATGAAATGAATGCAAAATTCGCATTCCTGAATGAACCTTTCCAACCACCAGGTAGACAATTCTGCTCAAGTATTGATAAATACACTGCCCAGCTTCAACAAGCGATACTTTCTTACATCTGTACCCATACACGGCACTCAAAATGTTCAATACACCAAAATTGGACAACCAGATTTCCAGTAATATTTTCAAAATGATCATGCACATAAGATCTTTGATGGGTTGTGCTCAACCTAATAATAATGTTATACATTTGTATAGAGCGTATTTCCAATGTAGCATAGCACTTGTTACCCAGGATAACCCAAGCTGCCTACCAGGCACTAGAAAGTTAATCAGGGCTCGATTTAAGAGATGTTAACCTATACTTGCACCAGGTGCAACCTAAGATTAAAACCTCGTTGCACAAGCCAAATTCCAGTTGCACTGATTTTATGGTGAAATGAAAGAAATGTAATGAAAGAAATATGCTATTGAGTTATTTAGATGTTTTATTCAGAAATTTACCCACTCCAAAATTGACCTGCACCTGGTGCAAGTTAATAATAATAATAATGTGTCCATTTATATAGCGCCAAACTCCACACTAGGTATGCTCATAACGCTAACAATCAAGGCCATTATTACCCCGGATAACCCAAGCTGCCTGTTAGGCGCTAGAAGGTTATAGTCATATGACTTTTTTCCACCGGGTACCCATAAGTATTAATTATAATGACTTATCCCATAATGTTTATTTCTCACTCAAACATGAAAAGCAATGACAATTTCAGAAGCTATTTAAAGACTTTATTCTTACCTCTCATCATCGGTGGGGGTCCTCTCATACCGGGTCCAGGGGGTCCTCGTCCTCCCATGCCAGGTGGACCTCGCATCGGGGGACCTCCCATCATCGGGCCTGCACAATAAAAACCTCAAATATACTTGATGGACCAGCGAAGAAACATCATGCATGGGGTAAAACCATTCTGAAAATGATTTCTTGACCAAGAACCCATTGACGTAACTTGCAAATGAGTGAGTTTAGGTTTACGCCGCACTCAGCAATATTCCAGCTGTATGGCGGCGGTCTGTAAATAATCCAGTCTGGACCAGACAATCCAGTGATCAACAGCATGAGGACTTAACTTGTCTAAAGTCCAGATGTAAATAAAACTGTTCTTGGTATCATAGTATCCAATCGACACTGCAGCATCACGCAGTCTTTCACTACCATCACACATTTGTAGAGTGATTGAGCTGGGTTTAACACCCCTTTCAACAGTACTGACATGACATGGGAGCTTTGTGAGAGGAAACGGCAAGACATAATGCTGGTCTTAGAAGATTACTACTTTGATGAATCCCACGAATGATGGTATGATGCTGACAAATTTGAACCCACGACCACAAGTTTCTTGAGTGTCCTAGGGATGCAAGGCTGCACAGCAAACTGTGACCATGCCATTAGTCACTTATCAAATGATTTATTTTATGGCAAACCTAGCAAGTTCAGTGTATATCTAACATATATTATAACACTTTGCAAATGGACACAAAATTTCATCTTGTCATGTTTTATAACAAAATTTACTTCTGCGTTTAGCCATGAGTTAACCAACCATCATGTCATTCTATCCTTTATCTTTGTCATGCAAGTACATATCTACTTAAAATTGTTTTCTTGTACTTCGAGTTAAATTTAATTGTGTGTTACTATTTCATGTCAGTATATCCTCTCTATGGATTTGTCAAGTTTCAAAACCGCTTTTGAGTTATCAAGACAACATATAATAAAACAATAAGTACAAGTCCAGTATGTTGATGTCCCACATACACGGTTTTACTGACTGACTGACTGACTGACTGACTGACTGAGTTTGGTTTTACGCCGCTTTTAGCAATATTCCAGCAACATCACGGCGGGGGACACCAGAAATGGGCTTCACACATTGTACCCATGTGGGGATTCGAACCCGGGTCTTCGGCGTGACAAGCCAACGCTTTAACCACTAGGCTACCCCACCGCCCCTACATGGTTTTACACGACGCATGATTCCTGCGTATTTGACGCAACAATTTTGTAAACGACTCTCAAAATATTATCATACGAGTCTAGCTTGACGCAAGTTTTATGGGTGGCCCTCACAATTGAGTTCAAAAAAATCGATTTGATGAGCAAAAAATGATATTATTGTTCGATGATAGTTTGACTTTTACAGAGCTGTCAGGTTATTCCAGAGAACTCAGAGGAGATAGTAACCCTGGCTGTGTGAATTGAACAATGCTGTAGTTTCATTTGGTGGTGTGAAAGAAATATTAAAATTTTCATGACTCCCAAATATTGAAAATGACTCCCAAAAATAAATATTGTGAGTCACCATGACTCCCATTTTATAAAGCCTGTGTAAATCCCTGCACATATTATCAGATAAAATGTTATACCTTGAGGAGGGCCTCGGGGACCTGCTGGCCTTGGTCCCGCTGAGTAGGAAGCTCCACGACCACCTGGTGTCATCATTTGTTGAGAGGGACCACCTACACCTCTCACTGGTCCCTGTAGACCAGGCCCACTTCCAGATCCGCTGGGTCCCATCACGCCACGCCCTGCGGCCCGTCCCATACCGGGACCACCTGCACCAGCCAAAGGCACACGAGCAATGCCTTCCTGTAGTAAACAAACATACAAGTGTGATGAAACAAGCGGCTGTCTCAGTCAATAATCTTGACAGTAATAGATGACAAGGAAGATTGATTATCTGTGTAAAGGTGGTTTACATACACAACATAAACGGAGGCCCACAACTGAGGTTTGATACATCACTACCATAATTTAGGACACAGCAACTATTTCCAACATTAACATGGTCGAGCTGACAATAGAAACCTATTAATCCTGGCGACATTTTCATTCTGAGGAAAGTAATTTTGGAGTGAGTGAGCAAGTGAGTTTAGTTTTACGGCGTTTTTAGCAATATTCCAGCAATATTACGGCGGGCGACACCAGAAATGGGCTTCACACATTCTGACCATGTGGGGAATCGACCCCGCACTTCGGCGTGACGAGCGAACGCTTTAACCACTAGGCTACCCCACTGCCCCAGTAATTTTGGAGGTGAGGAATAATTAGGTTCAAATGATGTGAGTATGGTGATGTAGCTATGATGAAAATCTTTTAAACAATCCAAGACCAAATGATAGGCAAACTCAGCTTGAACAGTTTGCTTGCCGAACTGAACATTTCAAATGATGACTTAGCGCGAGTATATCCCAGCATAAGACGAAATATTCTTTTTTCAAGGTGAGGTGAGATTGAGTTTAACGTCGTGTTTGAGAATATTTCGCTCATATGACGACGTGCATGCATGTGTATGTGCGACTGCTTGTACTAGCCCAGACTTAAGATGGTTTTATAGTGCTAGCCCACTGAGATACCATGCTGCAGTGAAGCATGAATACCCCACTCAGACACATTATACTGACTCCAAACCGACCAGTCCTTGTTGTACCCATTAATGCCCGAGCATCAGGCAGGGACCAACAAGTACCATATTTTAACGTCTTTTGGTAGGATGCGGCCGGGGATCGAACCTGCGACCTTCCGCTCTCTGGGCGGACGCTCTAACCACTACACCACGGAGGCGGTCTTCTTATTTGAAAATGTACATTGCCGACAACTGGGATTATGAATACATGATCTCGCATAAGTACGGGAACAGGCAACAGAAATAACTTAGAGTGAGTTCAGTTTTACGCCACACTCAGCAATAATCCAGCTATATGGCGGCGGGTATGTGAATAATCGAGTCTGGACCACACAATCCAGTGATCAACAGCATGAGCATCGATCAGCGCAATTGGGAACTGATGACATGTGTCAACCAAGCCAGTGAGTCTGACCACCCGATCCTGGTAGTTGCCTCTTATGACAAGCATGGGTTACTGAAGGTTCATTCTAACCCGGATCTTCACGGGTTAGAGGTAATTTAGATATCACCAACAGCATAATACACTTAACTTTCCATGTCATTCTATTTCCACTTAAAATTGCAGTGAGAAAAGAATCAATCATTTCGAAAACCTGTGTAGACACTTACAGTAGGATCTGACACAGGAAAAAAAGAAATGTCTCACCATCCTCACTTAGAATTTAAGTATGATTACAAAATTCTTACCTCTGCTGGTGGAGGTCCTTCAACTGTCATGGACACCAAGTGTTCTCCTCGGAGAAGTACCAGACCCAGAACTCTTTTTTCCTCCCTCTCTCCAGCCTTCTGACTCTTTGGCTTCACCTTTCGGAACTCATCGCAATCTCCCAAAATCAGGTTCATGTGCTTGTCGAAGGCTTTAAACGTACCGATGAAGATGCGCCCATCTTGGAGGGTGCACCTCATACGGTAGTTTATGTGCTGAAGCATTTTGCTGCTTTTCGCAACCTGTATAAAATATGCAAAGTATACATAAAAGAATGGAAGTTAAAAAGCTAGCAAGCTGATGAAGACAACACTTTAAAACTTTCAACAACAGTTACTGTTTCAATTTATCTTGATCTGATCTGAGATATTAGGCTAGAAGTCAGCAATATGTCCCTATATTGTTTAAGTGGAACTGACAATTTCCAAATTCAGGTTACAAGGATATATCCATACATATATCATTAATCTAATGAATATGTAATAGTCACCCATATTCACTAACAACCATACCAACACAGGACCAGGTTTAAATGTATTGTATCATATTACTGGATGAAATGCAATTATTAGTAACCTGAAAATAATTCCGATTTTGTACAAAATAATACTGTGTACCCAATTTGCCTGCCACAGGCAGAGAGGGAATCCTTGATAAATACCTTTCTATTAGTATTATCACTAAATGAACGTATCTAATTTCCTCGAAAACAACTTTTGTATCTATAAACATGATAAACATGCTTCCATATCTATCTTAATTGGTTCCTTTCATTCTGCTCAAAACAGAAAGAGAACTGATATTAGAAATCTTTCTTCTGACACATTGTCCACGTAAGTTATGAACATGTGCACTGGTTAAACATACTAGACATTAGAAAGATATAATTGAAACGTTCAACAAACGTTTAAAGCAAGCCACCATACAATACAACATAACTTAGTTAACTAACCCGTTAAAATCACAGAGTATTTTGATAAATACTAATTAATACAAACTAAAATATTACCGCAAACACTGATTTAACATTAAACTTACACATATTTGATAAAATAGCTGTGAGGTCTGCTTAAGCTAGAACTGGTACCGTATCACGAAAATAGGATACACCAGGACAAGAAAATAAACATTCACCAACATCAAAATTAATCTAAAGGAGATCGACATGAACATTTCATTTTATGAAATTGCTAGCAACATGTTTTCCAAATGACAAAATGAACCAAAACAACGTTGGTCATATTGAATGAAATATCGTGATTTTTCAAGATGTAAACAATGGGATGTCGTTTCTTTGAAATCGTGCAGATCCAGTGTCTATTTACAAACTAAATAGTCGACTTATTGCATTATAGATATATGAAATAATAAGTCTGCACAAGCTGACAACATTCAAGATATGAAAACTGAAAGACATACCATCTTGCTTCTTTGGATGTAACAGATTGACAAAAATTAGTTTGGGTTGTGACCCAAATCTTCAAACATTCACATTTGGAGCATGTACGTTTCCGCGGCGTATTCACTTCAGCGTCATCTATGCCGGTTAAGGGAGATAACCGCCAAACAGTAATTCGACCGGTGTTACCACTAAAAAATAATGATGACGTTTCTATTTTGACGAATGGACACAAAATGTTTGATGACTCAGATTAAAATGTAAACAAAGATTTAAAAAAGTGAATATTTTGAAAAAAGTCCTTTAGTCTTAGGTTTAATAAAGACATTTGTCTTGTTGAAGAGATTATTTAAGAAAGACAAACAATCTTATTGAAATGCTTAAAGCACAACATTTGAAATAACAACAAATAAAACAGTATCTGAATTTGTATGTGAAATTTTGTTTCACATAGATATAATGGAATGAGATGTTTGAGTTTAAAAAAAATATCCAAACATAATGGAACGTAGTTGTAAGCTAATTCTACATTTTTTACTCAAAACATGGAGTAGCGTGAGACAAGTCCTCTTTTCATAATTCCGTCTCGAGGATGAAAACGTATTACATAGCGTACTTACATTATTGTCGATTTCCAAGTGTAGATTACGGTGACATCTACAGTGTTTTGTTACTCGCGTCAAGACTTTCATTGAACAGAAAGTTTACATAAATGCTTCATGTACTACACTCTAAAACACAAGTGGTCAAGCAGAACAGTGGACGCGTCCGTGCATGTTCTGAATTGGAACACATAGGCCATATTTAGAACAGGCGTGTGTTCAAAGTCTGTGAGGTAGGTGTTCTACTTTCAGAACACAATGTGTTATTAGAAGACTGTGATTTCGCAAATAAAATCAATAAAATACTTTTGACGTAATCATCAATCCGTTGAGGTATTTTAAGACAATGTTGAACAATATACAAGCAGACATTTAAAAAAGGTTTTAAGTAAATTGATAATAATTTCTGTATTTTAACTTTAACCTTTTCTTTCCAGAAGGCGAATAAATATACATGTATTTTGCAAGAGGAAAATGATTCCTCAAAATGTTGTAAATAACTTGGTAAAATCCTGGTTATATATGGTTTACAATTGATAAATAACTGAATAAGCAACCTCTAGACTATCAGAACGCATAGTGTTCCTTTACATTTGATAAAATGAGCACTTTAGGACGGTATCTGTTCTATAAGATTTGATAAGATATCTTTTTCGGACGGCGTGTGTTCTGATTAGAACAGCTGATGTTCTAGCAAAGTGACGTCATGATAAGCATGCGCAGTTGTCTCTTCCCTAAAGCTACCAAAAGTCGTTTGGCGCCACAGGTCAAAATGAAAATGCTGCCTGTGATTCAGCTTATCGAAGACAAAACAAGACTCCATCAGGGTGGCAAATATAACAAGACCGCAAGGGTGAGTGGTATGTTAAAATTCATGTGTTACCTTATTTTATATCCCGTAATGTAAAGAAGTTATCATTAAGTAGGTGGTTACAAAGATTCTCCCACAATGTACAAACGTGAATTGCATATTCTTACAAAATGGAACCTGTTTTGTATTGACTGAAACCGTTGGATAAGCGTTTTTCATATTTGTTTGTGGGTGAAATAAACAGTATTTTCATTCAAAATTGTGAGTCACGAATTAGAGTTCAGTTGAAATTTGAAATCACGTGTATGTCACATCATATCTTTCAAATGAAGTATTTAGTGTAAAATTGTATTATTTATTGTAGGATGTGACCGTTGATGAGATTGACGGGGCCCTGAAGACAAAAGCCTCAGAGGGTCCAAAAATCGTCGCTTTCGTCAGGGGTGATGCTCTGGACGGCCTCCACATCGCCGCCGACACTGTGTCATGCGAGGTGAATGTCGAAGTGGCATCATGGCCACAGTATTGAAACTGATGGCGTTGTACTACATTTTCAATTTACGCTATTCCAGAGCATACACGGTGGTTTGGTAGGTTCAGAGAAATCGGGGACGTTATCTCATCCTTGCCCGACCCTGAGATATAGGAGCTCTTTTTTTTCAGCGTTTTCTTCAATGATGCACTTTAACTGCATATGGTATAATATGTGCACGAATGAGTTGTTGCAGTTAGAGTTAGCTTCTTTTCCTACACTGTATTTAGCCGTCCGCAGTCTAACAAAACTGACTGACTGACTGAGTTTGGGTTTACGCCGCTTTTAGCAATATTCCAGCAACATCAAGGCTGGGGACACCAGAAATCGGCTTCACACATTGTACCCATGTGGGGATTCGAACCCGGGTCTTCGGCGTGACGAGCCAACGCTTTAACCACTAGGCTACCCCACCGCCCCGTCTAACAAAAGGATAATAACACGTTTTCGTATTCAGTGTAGGTGTTAATAAAGTCTTGAAGCATTTCATATTGTTGTTGAATCATTTCATATTCGCTCATGTTAGGCTGGTGGAAGTGTCTCACACTAGTGTTCTGAAATAAGGCTCAGAACACTCAAAGGGCGTTCTAAATCTGTTACAGCGTCCGAGGCGTCCGGGGGTGTTCTGAATTGAACACATACAGAACACACAAAGAGTGTTCTGAAACCTAGAACACGAGCGTTCTGTGAGTGGAACACTACTGTTCTGACGGCAGAACACATAGTGTCTAAATCAGAACACTCCGACTGCGTTCTAAATCTGTTACAGGAAGGGTGTTCTCATAGTGTTCAGAACTAGAACACTTAGGTTTAGAGTGTAGAATTGATGAATTGAAGAAAAAAAACCCCGGTATTTTTGGTGTCCAAGAAAACAAAATAAAGGTAAGACAGAACACAAGGATTGAGTCTTCTCTTTATGAAAGACAAAAATTTCTTTCGGATATTTCATAAAATGATTTTTCTTAAAAGTGATATTTACTACCATGCAGACTCAGCAAGGTTCCAGTTCTATGAGGACATGTTAATTCTCCTCTTTTCTTAGGAAAATGCCTTGATCGATGCTCATGCCGTTGATCACTGGATTGCCTGGTCCAGACTCGATTATTTACAGACCCTTCGCCATATAGCTGGAATATTGTTGAGTGCGGCGTAAAACTAAACTCACTCACTATTCCATCTGCCTATATGAAGTTCTTCACTCTCAAAGGTCAGTTTACCTTAACCCTCCCCCAAACTCGCGCACACGCACGCACGCGCACACACACAAAACATCACTGTACCTTCAGTAACCCATGCTTGTCATAGGAGGCGACTAACAGGATCGGGTGGTCAGACTCGCTGACTTGGTTGACACATGCCATCGGTCTCCGCGCATTGCGGCAAATCAATGCTCATGCTGTTGATCACTGGATTGTCTGGTCCAGACTCGATTATTTACAGACCTCCGCCATATAGCTGGAATATTCCTGAGTGCGGCGTAAAGCTAAACTCACTCATTATTTTCACTATTTCAATTTTAAGTGGAAATAGAATGACATGGAAAGTTAAGTGTATTATGCTGTTGGTGATATCTAAATAACCTCTAACCCATGAAGATCCGGGTTAGAATGAACCTTCAGTAACCCATGCTTGTCGTAAGAGGCGACTAACGGGATCGGGTGGTCAGACTCGCTGGCTTGGTTGACACATGTCATCAGTTCCCAATTGCGCAGATCGATGCTCATGCTGTTGATCACTGGATTGTGTGGTCCAGACTCGATTATTCACATACCGCCGCCATATAGCTGGAATATTGCTGAGTGCGGCGTAAAACTAAACTCACCCACCCACTCACTATTTCAGCAGATATTGCAACAAAACCAAATGGAACACAAAGTAAGCATGTTATCTGACAAGAAAACATAAACATTTCATTAATGATAATTTTCTTTCTGTTCTTTATTATAATACTCAAAAAGGCAGAGTTTGATTCAGGTACAATGAAAGTAGATCCGACAAAATGCCTTACAACACTTGAGTGAAATAATGCAGATGCAATGTTAAATGTTACGCGTTTACTTGTATACCAAGCCTTTTTGTTGTGAAATGACTTGTAAAAACTGTACTCAGGTGGGACCAATATTTTCCCTCATTTCACAGATTAGTCTACATACGTTATAGTTTGCAATGAAATAAGAGGAATACCAAGACGACGTGCCAGAATTGTGATTTATCGCTTATTACAAATCCTTACTTTGAATACACAATGCCATTTAGAAAGTGGTAAATTAGGAGATAAACGTACTGCGACCTGAAGCAAAAATGGTGAAATTATACTAATTTGTACAACATGGGTACCGCAAACCATGCAGATAGGCCCAAATTACCCCATTTGAGACCCGAATCGCGCACATAAAAAGGGTGTGAGAATCACAGTATCAGTGTTGAAAGAAATACGCACTCTTCATCTTTTGTTGGCTTTGTTGATAAATGGCAAACTTATGCCAATAACAGATGGATCTTGAATAGGACCTTGACTTAGAATTAGTCGGGTATACAAACACGACCCGATGATACAATTTGACGCAAGTTGATCGATATCATTAACCACTTGCATACCGCTACTAAGCTGGATGCTACATTGTTGACGTCGCAAGGTGCCCGTCGTAGTCATGGCAACAACCAAGCTCCAGCAGCCGGCCACGTACAGAGGAGAGCTCATGAACACAAGATGGCGACCGCAAGTTCAGCGGGCATCGGTGGAGCCGAACTTCGACAGCGTTATCAGCCAGACCAGGACCCAGAATGGAATTCAGACCTGCCGTATGGGGGCAAGATTTATCTTGCTCGGAAGAAGAAGGCTGACCCAACATATGTGCGAGTCTTAGAGGTGAGAAAGTCCACACTGAAGTTGATCAGGGTACTGGGACTTTGGTGCCATGTGATGAATGTCAAAAGTCAGTCACTGAGTTCAGTATTTACTTAGATCTCGTCAGTAAAAGAAGCAAAGGCATTGCTTAAGCGTTTAGGGCTAAACATTTAAATATTGTATTATTCATATCTTTGTATCAGTGTATGCAGACAGACACGATTATTAAAACTGCAGATGAAACCAGTTCGTGGACATCAATAATCGATTAACCTTTGTTGTTAATCACGGGGACTGATGCGGATCGGGGTGGGCACACAGAAATAGACTGGTTCGATAAACTGCGTCTGTTTCATAGCAGAAGTAACATCAAATGTCATCTGGACATACAATCATGGATTGTTGAGGCATCAATATTTAATCTGTAGACAGGAGTCAGTAATTGGATACCTTCATTGAGATAAGATTCATTATATATTCACGTGTTATGATTTATCCCACATCTCTTGATCCAGAATATAATGTTTCAAACTGCTGTTCATTGAAACTGACTAAATATGCAGAATTCCTGCCACAATCATGTTAATGAAAAGATGCCACATACATCATGATACTAAATATCTGTCATAATCGTGTTTCATCTACACCAGCAACTCTTATTTCCTTTTGATCATTTACAATATTTCAGTGATAAAATAGATATTGATCACTTTAGTGATATAATGCATCATGTCGGAATGACTGTCATTGTACCTGAATCACATTCTGGCTTTTTGAATGATATAATAAAGAAAAGAAAGAAAATAAATACATTATTAATGAAACGTCAGATAACATGCTTACTTTGTGTTCCATTTGGTTTTGTTGCTATATGGCTGAGAAAATGTAGATGCAATGTTAAATGTTACTCGCTCACTTGTATACCAAGCCATGTTGTTGTGAAATGACTTGTTAAATTGTACTCAGGTGGGACCAATATTTCCCTCATTTCACAGATTTGTCTACATACATTAAAGTTTGGAGTGAAGTAAGAGGAATACCAAGAGGATGTGCCAAAATTGTGATTTTTTTGTATGCTTATTAGAAATCCTTACTTTGAATACACAATGCCATTTAGAAAGCAGTGTTCATGAATGGTGTTTCAAAGTCACAGGACATTGGGTCCTGTAAGTTTCAGATGTCTGTCTGACCCATTGAAAATGCACAGGACCCATGGAATAAAATTATACACACTTTTCAGATTTAATATTTCTTATAATTGACATTGAAATTATTAACAAACATAAGATTTATAAACAGCAAACAAGTGTCACATGTCACATAAAACAACTTCAGTCAAAGTCATCGTGAAATAAACAGTCAGACACTGGGGCCGGCGGGTTGTAGACTTCTGTCTGACCGTTAGCGAATCTGCCGGATTTGTCAGAGGGTCAGATGCTATTTGTGAACACTGAGAAAGTGGCCAGATGTAACAAATGTTATATTTGGCATTACGCTTTCCCCGTAAAGTACAGATTCTAGTACTTTTGTTGGGTTGAGTCCTGTCTGGGATTTGAACCCACACTCTCAGAGTCAGGCACCTAATCACCTGGCTAGCTATTCTTGAAACGTTCGTAACCCTACAAACTTCTTAAGCCCGTTCTTATCACATTGGCTACGATCAAAGTTAAGAATTCTTAGGGCTCAGAACGTTTCGAGAATAAGGGCCTAGCACACAGTCGGCTGCATAACCCGCTCAGCCACTGCTGATGGAAGCCTACTTCAGCCTACCTATGTTGGGTTTAAGATACTTCATCCTTCCGATGTTTTGTTTCATATATTTCAGCCTCCATTGTTATGTTTCAGGTACTCCTGATTGTGTTCACAGTGTCACTGGTCATCTATGCGTACTTCTACTTTGACCACCTGCATTTCCATATTGCCCATGCCTATGCACATATGGGATATGCAACTGCACAACACCAGGTGGGGCAGCGGTACTTACATGGCAAGGGAACAGACCGACACGCTGGCAAGGCCATGGAGTGGTTCAGGTAAATTTCTATTCTATCATCCAGCATCTAAAATGAAAATATTCACAGAAAATAATAAGATTATATAAGTGGAATATAATAAGAAGGCGTTTATGAACTCAGTTTATTTTAGAATTTTGCTGTTACAGGTTTGTCAGAAACAAATGTTAGGATAATGTATAATGAGTGTTTTGTTGGAAAAGGTACTATGAAAATATGGCAAAAGAAATTCATAGATTACAAATTATGGTTACACAATTGTTAGAATTCTCCGGGGTCATAAGGCTAGGTCATTGACACCAGGTAAACCTCTTGACCTTAATGTCTTATTAGGGCAGTGGGGGAGACTTGTTGTTAAAGCCTTCTCTCATGAGGCGGAAGACCTGAGTTCAATTCCCCATTTGTGAAGAAACTTGACAAGTATTTATCCGAAATAGATTTCCATTTGCACGGAAACTAAATGTTAGACGCATTAAAGGTATTTATGTGCGCATACCCATACGCTTGAAATCTTATATTATGTCGTTACTTAATTGATTTTGAGGCGCATTACCTGCCTGTAGCCCCATTTGTGTACAAAGTCTGGTTTCCTTGCCATGATATTACTGGAACATTCCTAGGACCCCATCCCATGAGCACATTAATGTCAATATGAAGCTCTTTGTAATTCTTATAATCATCTTTGTACCGGGGATGTACTTCTGGTTTATAACTGCTGGTCCTTTGGCCTGTGGCAAGCAGAAATAGTAGATGTTATTTCAATTGAGTGTCCTGTAGGACCAGTTGATGGTCTCATGCATACTGTTGTGATAGGCTGGCAAGATTTCAGGAGTGTGATTACTAAATGGTCCTGCTGAGATTCAAAACGTCTGATGTATTGTCCTGAAATATTTGCTGATTCTGCATATTTTCTATTTCAGGAAGGCTGCCGATCAAGGTCACCCTCATGCTTCCTACAACCTGGCCATCGGGTACCTCAGGGGCCTGAAGACTGACATCAAAACAGGGTCAGTAGACGCTTAAAATATTATATACTGAAGGTGAAAAAATAATTATCATAAGGCATATCAACAGAAGAATGTTTGCTCCAGTGTTAAAAAAATAATACAATTCAGCTTGCAGCAGTGAGTGGTTATCTGTGTTATCTGGCCCATTGTGGGTCATTCTGACCTGATGCTCATTGCATCAATCACAGGTCTGGCAGGGATTTGATTATTAACACCTGCAGTGATACAACTGGAGCACTGTTGATCACGGTTTTAGTCACTTTCTCTCACTTGGTTTGTTTGTCTGCTTGTTATTGTTTGCTTTCAGCAATTTTCCTGCTATATGATATTGTTTGTAAATAATCTAGGCTGGAACTTACAGACCAGTGATGGACATCATGAGCATTGATTTATGCTAATAGGATATGCTGACATACATCAACCAGCTAGGTCTGCATGCCTGGCCACCCAATCCCATTAGTTGTCACTAATGACAAGCACTGCTTGCTGAAAACCAGTTCTTACTTGGATCTTCATAGTTCTTCCAACCATGAAGATCCCATTAGAGTTGGTCTTCAGTAACCCTTGCTTGTTGTAAGAGGTGACTAATGGGATCCCGTGGTCAGGCTCGCTGACTTGGTTGACACATGTCATCGTGTCCCAATTGCGTAGATTGATGGTCATGATGTTGATCACTGGACTGTCTGGTCCAGACTCGATTTTGTATTGCCCTAATATTGCTGTATTATTGATGAGTGGCATTAAAAAAACAAACCAAAATGATAGTTCTTCACTTGATTTAATTCCAGTAAACAGTGACAATGAATCTGATGGTTATTTAATTATTTGTATTTTGTTTTATTTACAGAGAGGCCCACACATTAATTCATCACGCAGCTTCGAAGGGAGTAGCTGAGGCACACAAGGTCCTTAACGAGGTCTGTGCCAAAGGAGGCTGTGATTAGGTCAGGGAGATTCTCACCTGGTCAGTGTGTTGAAGGATTTGTCTGGACCTGCCTAGTGGGGAGATACAACACCAGTGTCTACAGCAAATGTTAATTGACATCCCCAAGTTGGAAATACAAAATAATGATTCATTAGTTATGACTAATATAATGACTAGGTTTTTATAATGTCACTGATAAAAGAACCAGTGAAAATGAAAAAGATTTAATCCTTACTTATAAATCATTGCATTGAAAGGGATTTTAAGTTACTTCTGATTTTAAGAGAAAAGAATTTGAAATAAATATCAGTTTTGAAGAAAATATTGCTGTTTACTAAGTTTGTGGGGAATCCCAGATTAATCCTGATGTTATTCGTCCATATGTTCCAATACTCTATTGCTGTATCACAAATACTTATATTTAACAAGTTACTGTATTTGTACTTCAATAATCCCATGTTATCAAGAGATAATATGCTTATTAATCCAGCTGCTGATCAAATAATATGCAATGTCCATTAATCTTCATTCTTTGGCCATGATTCCATGACGACATCCATGACGACATTTATCTGTCTAACCAATAAGAGAATGAAACGCATCCGTCCAACCGTTTGATCAGTATTTTGTCTATCAACCAAAATATATTTGATATTTCTTTGAATACTTTTTTAACTTATTCATTAAATATGGTTCCATGAAGACTGCTGAATATATATGTGTAAAAAAATTAAAAGAATGGAATATGTCCATTGAACTGTTCGATTGTTATTTTAAAAGATAATGTTGGTGTTTGTTTGAATAATTATTTAAATTTATTCATCTGATGTAGTCCCATGAAGACTGCTGAATATGTCCGTCCAACAGTTAAATCAAAAGAACGTGTACATCCTACTGTTAGATCTTCATTTTATCAAAGAAGATAAATATTTGGATGTTAGTTTAGTTTTGTTTTAATCAGTATGTGTACATTTGTCAGGATAGGAATGTATAATACCACCAATGTTTATATTTTAGTCTTATGAGACGTATTACAATGCCTATTTGTAACCAACGTTTAGAAATTTATTTATCATTGTTGTTTGTGACAATTATGGATTGTTTCAGTTTACTGTGGTAGAAATGTGCAATGGCTTCTTGAACGTGTGTTGTTTTCTATATGACAAAGGTCAACCTACCAAGTCAATCATATAAATATTACTGCTGAAAACCTATTGAAGTATATCCTTTTGTTTAAGGTCTCTTTAACATTTGGATAATTATTTAGTTTGGACTGTCCAGTATGGAGAAAAAACAAAATAAGCAAAAAGGCTGCTGTTAAACTCCATGAATTTAAATATATTCATATTTACTGGACAAGCAAAACAGAAAATTGTATTTTCAGTTAAGGCACATGTTCTGTTCCGCCTACACCCCCACAAGCATATGTGTTTAATCATGCTTTTTATGCTATTATTCTCTTTTGTGCTGCATTGTTTTTGAAGTTGGTTTGAATATAGAATTGTTCACGCTGATGTCAGTTTTCGTATAGGTCACAAATACACCAGTGATACAATATGCAAGTACGTTATGTTCACAAGGTTTTATGCTGATGAAGGAAAGCTTATTTTCTGCTGCTGCTGTTATGGATGTGTTGTATACACTATTTGTTACATTACATGTTGAGAAATAAAATCTACTATCTAAAACGTACTCTTCTGTCATATTTACTTTTATGATCATTCCAATCTCCCCAAATTATGATGTGAGTGAGATGTTTGATTGGAGGAGGATCTGTGATTCCTGATTTGGTGCCTCAATGGACTGTTGCTCATACTTTCAACCACCAATTTGAGTTTATTATATAGTATGACCAGAAATTATTGAGAATTTTAGGAATATGTTTAATTGGATTTCTAGTATAAACAACCTTGACCAGCTATCAAGTGCTTGGTTTCATTCAAGAGATACAACTCCGTTAATCCCTTTTCATTAGTTTGTGAAGAGTTATCCCCCTTCGTTTACTTGCTAGCAGACGACATTTTCACTGATCCTCAGTATGGATGATTTAGAGAAGAGGAAGTTGATTTTAGAGTATTATAACAAGGACATCAGATCAGCTAAAGTGATTCCAAGTAGAACAGGCATCCCTTTGTCCACTGTTTATCGTGTTTTGAAAAATATTGCAAATGGATATGGCATTGAGCACCAGGGAGGCGCAGGTAGGCCCAGAAAATTGACTGTCGGTGACAGGAGGCGGCTTGGTATTCTTGTTTCTAAAAACAAACGAAGGAGTTTAGAAAACTTAAGGCGGGATATGATTGATAGAGGAACTGTGGCTGTCTGTAAGGAGACAATTAGAACTGAGCTGCATGCAATTGGTTGGCAGAAAAGTCGAGGAATTTCATCACCGATCATGAAACCTGAACAAAAGGAGCGAAGGTTGAACTGGTGCTTACAGCATAGAAATTTTAACTGGGACAATGTGATTTTCTCAGATGAAAGTTCTGTGTGGCTGTTTCCTAATACACTGAAATTCTGGACCAAACAAACTGAAAAACCTTTGTATCAACGCGCAAAGTACAGTCCGAAATTTAAAGGTGTGGGGAGGGATATCTGTGATAGGGGCAACGTCCCTCTGTGTATTTGAAGGGAATATGAACAGTGAGCGGTACACAGATATTCTCGAGGGACATTCAATTCCATCTGCTCACTTGTTCTATGGAAACTTTTGGATTCTCCAACAGGACAACCATCCAAAACATCGTTCAAAGCATTCACAGGCCTGGTTTCGGACCCAAAATATGACATTATTAGATTGGCCAAGCTATAGCCCTGACCTAAATCCAATAGAAAATGTTTGGGGACTTATGAAGGAAAGTGTCAATAAGAAAAATCTGACAAATATTGCTGAAATGAAAGAAGAGGTGGTCCGATATTGGGACAGCATGGACCACGACTTTCTAACTTCTTTGATCAGTAGTATGCAAAATACTAACTATTCACCTGTCTTTTAATCTGGAGTTATGTTCTGCTAATAAATTACAATTAAACTCTGTGTTATGAGTGAAAAAATTAAATTACAATCTTTAAATTCTCGGTAATTTCTGGTTGTACTGTATATACGAATATGTGTTAATATAAGGGTAATGCTATTTCGGGCAGAATGGAAGACCGCGGGCCTCTGCAAATAATAATGCCCTCAAAAATAGCATTACCGTTATTATTGCTAAAATACATGGAATTTGTGTTGAAAAGAAAAAGGAAACAATGAAGGAATTTGACTGTAAGTTTACTCAAAACCATCTTCAGACGGGGTTGACTGCCCGAATGCAGTTACGTCATCGAACAATGCAAGTGACGTCACAACAGAAAGTGACGATATTCGACCTTGGCCTTTGAAAAGACCATAGTCTGCAACATGTCAAACTATGTCAGTGCTCGGTCTTGGTCCAACAACAACGTTAATAATGCAATTGTTAAGGTTAGCACCAGCAAGAAAGCCAATATTACCGCTATTTAAAGCGGGAATTCGGGTTGCTTTGACTTGTTTGACCCAGAATATATGCCAGTCCAAAGCCAATGTCGAATGAACCGACGCACCCACTATGACGTCACTTGACAACAGAACTGATAGTGGCCCGTCGTTAAGGTTGAGCGGTCCAATATCATTTGCAGCGGCCCGCAAAATTCTGATAATAGGAGGGCCGTTTCATGATAATTCCATGTGTTTTAGCTATAAAGATGATTGTTAACTCTTGTTTTAAAAACAAAACTCTCACTTACACATGTATTATTGTATTATTGATAGTCGCTATGGTTGTGGATTTTACTAATGCCTCCTTCAGCTATGATTTTGGGTGAGCTTCAGACTTATGAATTGACGTGATATGTAGAGTTATCTCCCTTGTATCTGAACTCAACGAATTCGTCTCTTTCAATAAAAACAAGGACACTTTTAATTTTATGGTTAAATCTGTGTATACCAAGAAACAACCCTATTCTGGGTCGAAATATAGAATAATCACTTGATTTTAGGTCTGTGCCCGATCCACAAAGAGCTAATAACACTATGATATTCATAAGCCTACATGACTTATGTATGTAGTTGAGTACAACCTCCATGACCTGTATGTAGTTGAGTTGCAACCTCCATGGCTGTATGTAGTTGATGTACAACCTCCATGACCTGTATGTCCATGGCTGTATGTGGTTGAGTGCAACCTCCATGGCTGTATGTAGTTGAGTGCAACCTCCATGACCTGTATGTAGTTGAGTGCAACCTCCATGGCTGCAACCTCCATGGCCTGTATGTATGTGAGTTCCATGAGTAGCAACCTCCATGGCTGTATGTAGTTGAGTGCAACCTCCATGGCTGTATGTAGTTGAGTGCAACCTCCATGGCTGTATGTAGTTGAGTGCAACCTCCATGGCTGTATGTAGTTGAGTGCAACCTCCATGGCTGTATGTAGTTGAGTGCAACCTCCATGGCTGTATGTAGTTGAGTGCAACCTCCATGGTTGTATGTCCATGTTGAGTGCAACCTCCATGGCTGTGTATGTAGTTGAGTGCAACCTCCATGGCTGTATGTTGTTGAGTGCAACCTCCATGGCTGTATGTAGTTGAGTGCAACCTCCATGGCTGTATGTAGTTGAGTACAACCTCCATGGCTGTATGTAGTTGAGTGCAACCTCCATGGCTGTATGTAGTTGAGTACAACCTCCATGGCTGTATGTTTGAGTACAACCTTGAGTGCAGCCTCCATGGCTGTATGTAGTTGAGTGCAACCTCCATGGCTGTAGTACAACCTCCATGTGTAGTTGAGTGCAACCTCCATGGCTGTATGTATGTTTGAGTGCAACCTCCATGACCTGTATGTAGTTGTTGAGTGCAACCTCCATGGCTGTATGTTGTTGAGTGCAACCTCCATGAGTGAGTTAGTACAACCTCCATGGCTGTATGTTGTTGAGTGCAACCTCCATGGCTGTATGTTGTTGAGTGCAACCTCCATGGCTGTATGTAGTTGAGTACAACCTCCATGGCTGTATGTAGTTGAGTGCAACCTCCATGGCTGTATGTAGTTGAGTACAACCTCCATGGCTGTATGTAGTTGAGTGCAACCTCCATGGCTGTATGTAGTTGAGTACAACCTCCATGGCTGTATGTAGTTGAGTGCAACCTCCATGGCTGTATGTTGTTGAGTGCAACCTCCATGGCTGTATGTAGTTGAGTGCAACCTCCATGGCTGTATGTAGTTGAGTAGTGCAACCTCCATGGAAGACAATTTTCTGGCTGTATGCCTACCTGCAACCTCCCTGTATGTAGCTCAATGCCATATCCATTTGCAATATATTTCAAAACACGATAAACAGTGGACAAAGGGATGCCTGTTCTACTTGAAATCACTTTTGCTGATCTGATGTCCTTGTAATAATGACTCTAAAATCAACTTCCTCTTCTATGTAAATCATCCATAACTCTTCTGGACAAACTAATGAAAAGGTATTAACGGAGTTGTCTCTCTTGAATCTGAAACCAATCAATCATTGATAGCTGGTCAAGGTTTTGTCCAGTATACTAGAAAACCTCCAATGTAAACTTATTCCTAAAATTCTGTTGAGTGTATTTCTGTTCAGTGGGGCTGGATATGGACTATATAATAGCAATGAGATGCCGCAATTTGATTTGCAAAGTTGCGTCCCTTAGTCGTGCCAGAATAGTGTAGCCGTGAGTTCGAATCCAAGATTCGCCCACTTTCCAAGGTTATTCTGTTCCATACCCCTGCTTGGGTTTGACCAACTCAGCACACTCCTCAGGCCTACTTCCCGTCAGGCTATGCTACGACATTAAGCCAATGCGGGGCGGTAATGTGAAACTACCGTAAAAGTCAAACGGGCCGATCTCTCAAGCGTCTCCTAATCCGGCCTTTCTTACATCACGTTAATCAACAAAGAAATCGACGTTTTCATTACAAATTAATCAGATGTGGGGTATTAACAGATTTACGGTTATCGAGGGAATGATAGTGCTTTTGAAATTTTATAACGAAAAGAATCTTCTCTTGACAAGCTGGGTGCCTTGGCAAATTGTATAGAAACAAAATCAGATAACTAAAACTGGTTTCCTTTATTAATTCCCGTTCCCACCATCCCCTTTCATTATGTTACATTTATTAAATGAAATTGAAACGGCTTCATCGTATGGGAGACATTTGAATGAATTTACCTTTTTAGCTTGTGACAACACAGTTAATAGTATAATTACACTTTTTAAAACATAAATTTCAAAATATTTTTATTACCAAGGTTCATAGGAGTGTACCTTTTGTATTGTGTATCTAAAAATTATACATACACGCACTTTTTCTCACTCGGAATAAGATGTATTCTCGCTCAGAAAAAAGCCAAAGCTTAGGATCTTCCTTATGGGACGCGTTTGAAATGGTATATTTTCCTTTCTAAAAGATAGGTACTTCTCTGTTTGAAGAAATTCAATTATTCACGTCAATAATGCACACAAATTAATTGCGGTTTTCAGTATTTATTGCATTTGTAAAGAACAAATTAGTCTAGATTAATGTAAGCTTTATCCTCCTCGGCGTTGATATGGAAACATCAACCAGTGAACCTAGCAACCCCAACCAGGTCACGTGATAGAAGGCATAACTTCGGTTGTGTCCGTGATAAGGGCGACATTTGCCGATTGCTTGTGTACCGGAAGTGTCGAAGTAAACGCAGGCAGATTCTTGTCAACACAGGTAGAGGGACATACCCTAGCAACGACACCCCGGTCTGCAATCATGGTGAGTATTTCCAAGTTAAAATGAAGAAAACTTTGTTATAGTTAACCAAATGATGTCTGAAACCTCCTTATTTCTTCGATCGAAGTTCGAAGCAGACAATTTATCTATGAGTCACCCACTGTGTGGACGATTTTCTGATGATTCTTTTCTCTTTACATTCCAAGCACCTGCATCTGTGGAGTACATAACAACACATGTTTAAATATTTCTAAGGTACTGTATAAGTACACGTTGCCTTCTAAGCTAACCTTGCCTGTTCTCGCGTTTAACTAATTCATATCGGTGTATGATTTTGATCAGGGTCTATGCTGTGTGTGTTGTCACAGTTGTCAAGGACTAGGGCCAGTAAAGAAACATGTAGATGTTATTAGGTTTGAGCATCAGCGACACACTGTGATACACATGGTAACTTATCCAACAGAAGATATCTCATTATTATTCAAGAACCTTTTCAACCCATATGGTAACTATCCATATTCAAATAATAGTAAAAGTGATATCTTACAACTGTGATCCTGCTCTGAAAAACTTTGGAAACCAATTTGGGGAAGACTTGGTTTTTATCCAACACATCCCTGATTCCCAATGATGTAGAATGTTTTTGTGACCAGTGTGCTCTTAATTATGTTAAACACTTCATCATGATCTTAATCATGTAATTTCACAAAGCCTATAAAGACTAATTTGATAGTACTGACATCTAAATTTGTCCGTGACTCTCCACAAATGTCTTGAGACTAGTGGTCATGCTACTAGTTAAACTTATTAGTAAATATGAAATTGGATACCTGTTCATGGAGTTGTTCCAACAGTTTCAGTGAAACAGATTTATCTCGACCTGCTCAGAGGCCAATATTTATCCTCAAGTCTGCAGCAAATGTCAGTGACAGTTCCAAAATGGAATTTTAAATTTTCAAATTGATGATAAATAGTAATAAGTTATGGCCTTGACTTCTCAACCACTCACTGATTTGAGCAAAATATCGATTTCCCAACAAGATTTCCGAACAAGTGCCTAGAGCTCTTAGCTTGGAATCCTAGGTAAACCCGAGTAAATGTACGTAGTTAAGCATTTCCATGTTTTGTTGTCATGTTGGCCTGATTAATAAAAATGTCCAACGTTACCTTTTCTCCAGTGATTAAAGTCAATCTGTTATTTGAAACAAATTTAACTTTGAACACTACCCATCATTGGTAAACAGAAGTTAAAGGTTAGAAATTTAGGGTCTCCAAAGATTCAAATACTAGTACAAGAGGAACAATAGTCAAGGAGACCATGATTCCTTTTAGTCTGAACACTACCTGATATATTTGAAAAATGAAATTATTACTTTTAGTTACAACAGGACACATGAAAATGATCAAGTTCTCAGTCACATTATTTCTGTGACATTGGATATAGGAATCTGATCAACAATGTGATCAATGGTTTAGATTAAGTCAATGGAGTGCTGTCATAACTGTAAGGTTAAAGTCTGAAATTCAGGAGGTCCCAGATTCAAATAATATAGCAGTAGTATTCAAAGATTCGTGGATCCAGAGGTTCAAATTGTTTTTTAAAAGCCACTGGCCTCAGGGCAAGTGACTTTAAGAAAGTAACTTGTCCTGGCTAATTTTCCACTTGCCCTGATTTTTATGACATAATCATGATGATGTAATTATGAAAGAATAAATCAACATGGTATTTGATGTTAATGTTCACTGGACTATTTATCGAGAAGTGATAAATGGCAAAGAAGGATAACTCTACTTAATTATCACTGCACAATTTAATAACTACAGTTTGAGCAGATATGAAATGAAATCCAAGTTTACTTGCAGTTTGAAACCGTAAGCAGAGATTATATAGTAGCCCACGGACAAGTAACATACCAGTATTTGATTGCCCGAAATGAAAACTGACATGTCCCGGGCGTCGGGTGATGGGATTTTTGAACCCCTGGGATCCCCTTTAATTTTTACTTTAATTCAATAACAATGTAATCAATATATGATCATAACTAGTGTACATATGTTGCAGTATATTGCAATAAAAATTAATATGAACTTATATCCAGTGCTTATTTTGGCTAAACCACTGAAAACATTTTGTTCTTTCTTCAGTCTGACGTAGAAGAAACATTCAAGAGGATCCAGTCTCACAAAGGTGTCTTGGGAATCATTGTAGTCAACAGTGAAGGTAATACTGTTTATCTGTCTGTAAACAGAATTTTCATCAAAAACAGATGGCACACAGGACCATTTCAACTTTCATCTTGTGTACAGCAACATAAACTGTTCTGTGTGTCTCTGTTTATGACTTTGATTTCACCGCTACACAACTGTAGGGAGTGAACAGAGACTGATGTCCATGCACTCAGAAGGAGTTTTCAAATTTTGTTAGACCCGTGAAGATCCGGGTTAGAATTGATCCTCAGTAACCCATGCTTGTCATAAGCGGTGACTAATGGGATCGGGTGGTCATGCTCACATCGCATCCGATTTGTTTATTATGTTTATTATCTGGATGTAAACACCCAATCAACTTGCTTATTTCATCATATGATTTTGTCCAATACTTAATCAAGATGTATGGAAATAAAGTGATGACTCATGAACTACCTTTGGTCTGGCAACATTGGGCAGACCAGTCACCGACACATACATAATTCTTCAAACTCTCCCACAATGTGAGTTGCTGCCAAGGAAATGCTACTTACATTGCCTTTCATGAACAATATGGTGGGAGAGAATGAATATTGAGAATGTGTTAAGAAGAAGACAGACAGAGTTCTGTTCATCCATATCACCACAATGTGCTGTGTAGAGTTATGTCCCTTAGTCAAAAACCTTTTGTGGGTTTCGAATCCCATATTCACCCAGATTTATTTTCTAGCTTTGTCAGTCCACACTGCATAATGATAAACATCCTAGACCTGGATTTCCTCAGGTTTTCCTCTCGAGGAGACAGGATTTGAGTGAAATACTGTTGATAGCAGTGTTAATGTGGCTTGCGCCTGTGTTTGTTATAGGTATCCCGATCAGGACAACGCTGGACAACTCGACCACTGTCCAATATGCCGGTCTGATTCATTCCTTAGCAGCCAAAGCCAAAAGCTGTATCAGAGATATTGACCCACAGAATGAGTTGTGCTTCTTCCGACTCAGGACGAAAAAACATGAGATTATGTGTGCACCAGGTGAGGAAAATATGCATAATACTGTGAAGTTTTTATCTTTGAATGAACTGGGTATGTTGATCAAAATGGTGCTTTTGACCAATTTGTAAAGTCTAATGTAATATTACAAAATAGTGTTGTGACAATTAATAAATAAATTCATTTTGCGAGCAGGTAGCCCTTTTTGTTTCAAATCACATGATCAAGTATTGATGATTATTTCAATTAACTGGAACACATGCACTGCAGAAGTTAGGCTACTATGGAGACATTCTTTTAACTTGTATTAAGATCCACGATCTGATGTTAGATAGAAAAGACAAGGCGTCTGTTTAATCACTTAACTTATATATCTTTGATATTACTGTCAATTGCTCCCAGCAACCTGTGAAGATCCGGGTTAGAATTGAGGTTAGAATTGATGTTCAGTAACCCATGCTTGTTGTAAACGGTGACTTAACAGGATCGGGTGGTCAGGCTCGCTGACTTGGTTGACACATGTCAACAATAATTGCGTAGATTGATGCTCATGCTGTTGATCACTGGATTGTCTGGTCCAGACTCGATTATTCACAGACCACCGCCATATAGCTGGAATATTGCTGAGTGTGGCGTAAAACTAAACTCACTCACTCACTTATTGTCAGTTTTTCAGAATATTGAGGAATGTTGTTTTCTGTTTCAGACCATGATTACTTGATGATTGTCATCCAGAGTTAGGATCCACTGGGAGGGAAGATCTGCATGCATTGCGTTAGGGGTGGGGGGAGGGGTCTGTCACTCTACATGGACTTTGCTGTCATTATATGGATGTCAATTCCAATATATTTATTCTGCTTCCTGAACCTGGTGTCCTGTATCCGAACAAATGGTTGATTTCAAGTTTCTCCGAAATATTACTTAATATTCATCATTCTTTGTATGTTTATCACATTCTTAGAATTTGGTGAAAGTCATGTAGAGTTTCATTGAAGTTTTATTTGATCTATTTATGAAATTGTCATTTGTTATTGAAATTAAATCTTCATCTCTGAATTTTGCCTTTGGTTTTATTATTACTCTCAGGAAGGAGAATGTCTTGCTTTATAAAGGCGTGATCAAAGGTGCTGCAATTTGCTATACAGAGTTGTGTCTCTTTTTCTCTGTCAGGATCAGCTAATCTGGGTCGACTCCAAGATATGCTTTGATTCTAATACTCTGTCTTTCAATGTCATATGCTCATGGATTTCACAGAAGTGATTATGGGAAAACATTTTGACATGTGCTCTAAAGTGTTTTCCAAGTAGAAAGTGAATATTTCTTGAAGACTACAGGAAGTTTATAGTCATGACATATTAGTTATTACTTTAAAGTAGCAAGGTGCATCATCTTATACCTATCTGCAATAACAACCTGGATAGGAAAATCTGAAAAATGATGCTAACAAATTGTTTTCGATGATTGTTTGTTGGTAATGAAGCAATCATCAATTGTGAGATTTCAACCAATTCCCAACACTAGTGGCCAGTGTGTCACTGTCACAATGGTACAGCCAGCCCTCTAAACATTGAAGTATGATGGAATTTCCTTGACATTCAAGCCTGTCATATTCATGTGTGTACAAATAGGATCAACACTTGACTGCTCACGGCCAAAGACCACTGAAATCTGGTTGTGTCAGAACTTGACAACTTGACTTTTTGAGTTGAGCCCCATCTGGGATTCGAACTCACGCCCTCAGAGTCAGGCACCTAATCGTCAGCACACAAAGTCAGCCGCCTAACTCGCTCAGCTACAGTGACTTCCTTGTTTACTGTTACTGACAGTTACTAGAGGTGCAGGGACACTGGGGTAGCCCGTTGGTTAAAGCGTTGGCTGGTGATGCCGAAGATTAGGGTTCAATTCCCTACATGGGTACAATGTGTGAAGCCCATTTCTGGTGTCCCTGCCTTGATATTGCTGGAATATTGCTAAAACTTACTAAAAGCGGTGTAAAACCATACTGACTCACTACAAGTGTGTTTACAAGGGTCTCTACTGCCACATGACACAAGCCTTGATGAGTGCCATGCCATGATTTTCCCTTCTACCAAATTAGACTGACATATACCACTTTATACTGAATTTGGGTTAAACATTTATTTCATTTCAGAAACTATATCAAGCTTATATGAGATAAACATGGTCTAAATGGAAAATAACTGGCTGCTCTTTAACCAATAGTAAGCTTGTGTTTTAACGTAAGGTAGGATAGGACATAATATGACCAGATTTCTGTGCTATAGTGCTATATTGTATTGGTACATAATGATACATGTATTCTTATGTATCGTTCTGATTTATGCTGACTTTAAGAAGAATGGAAAAGCTGTATGTGTAGCATAAGTGAATATAAATTAACTTTGATTTGATCTTATTCCATAATATCATTTGGTTACTGCATGATGTGGAACAAAGCTAGAGGTGATGAAGGTCACAGGTGTTGTTATTCTGGGGACACCAGCTAGCACAGGTATAGTGCTAACACACCTACTTGCCATTGTACAAACCAATCTAAGTGCTGAGGTGATCGTAACCCCAAAGCTTGTAACATAGTGAGTGAGTGAGTTATTATTTAACGTCACATCGGCAATATTTCAGCCATATCGGCTTGTAACATAGATTTATGACAGTTGTAGCGCTACGGTTGCTTTGTACAATGGCACCCAGCAACCCATTAGGAAGAACCTACTACAGTGCACTCTGTCTAATTCGGACCAGCTTGGGACCGACTAAAAAGTCCGAATTATACAGTAGTCCGAAGTACACAGATTTTTATGGAGACATAATTCTAGGAACTTACCTGACTTATGATTCATATATTAAATCTATCACATTTCACAATGTCTGAAAACACTTATTAAATTTCAATTTATCATATATTATCAGCAGAATTAAAATTATAAACTATTTTTCGCAATGTTATTAAAAACAACAATTCTTGGACACCTGCTTGGCAGTGGGTCCACAATAACATTAATCAAAGAGCAAAATAACGATGTTTCGAGGAATTCATTAAATAAATTGAATAAACTAATGAATAAAATCAACAACAACATTCATAAAAGTTGTCAAGCGTGCATATAAAATTACTATTTCAATCTTTTGTGCGATCATGTAATGTAAGTCAAGTCACTGACAAGTGACATCTCGCTCGCCGCCCAATCTTCACGCTCAGACACGATGTTTAATCCGAAAGCGGACTTCCTGCTAAGTAAATAAGACAAAATACACAAACCAATCAACGGAATGTTTATGCAAGGTTTATTGGCCAAGCGGACTTCCTGCTCAGTCCGAATTTTCCTTATCGGGCCGACACTTTGGTCCGAAATCCGAAATAATGAGAGTCCGAGATACAGAACTTTTTTATTATGACAACAAAGAAGGATTACGTCGGGATCGTGAGTTCAGTCCTGTTTATACAGCAATCCGAGAAAGACAGAGTCCGAGTTTGACAGAGTGCACTGTATAGTGTTAGGGATACATCATAATAATGACCCCCATGATTGTAACATTTTTGGATTACCCTCCCCAAGTCCTTGCTGATGTCTTTCATGGGAATCAAAAGACAAAATGTTGTGATATTTTATTGTCTTTTTTTCTTGACCCCCACTAATGTGGATTATTGTTTTTTACCCTCCCCATAAGGCACTCATAGTTTTTGGAGGCCCTCCCTGATTTGGCAACCCCAGTATCAATGATTGGTGCTTATGGTGTCATAGCAAGAGCCCCATAGCAACAAGACACATAAACTCAGATAATGGACACCATCCACTGTTCAGAGGTGAGGTGAAATTGGGTTTAACGTCGTGCTTAAGAATATTACGCTCATATGACGACATGCATGCGTGTGTATGTTTGTATGTGCGGCTGCTTGTACTAGCCCAGACTTAAGCTGGTTTTATAGTGCTAGCCCACTGAGATACCATGCCGCAGTGAAGCATGAATACCTCACTCAGACACATTATACTGACTCCGAGCCGACCAGTCCTTGTTGTACCCATTAATGCCGAGCGCAAGGCAGGGACCAACAAGTACCATATTTTAACGTCTTTTGGTATGGCGCGGTCGGGGATCGAACCCTCGACCTTCCACTCTCCGGGCAGATGCTCTAACCACCACTGTTCAGACCTATATTTACATGTATATGCTTAACGTGACACTTTGCAATATTGCAGCTTTATGACGGTGTTGTGTGTGACTGCTTGTACAAGTCTCGACTAATCCTGATGTTACAGTGCACCAACCTGAGACACAATAACACAGTTTTAACATGAATACCCAACTGAGGTTGGTTGGTTGGATGTTTAAAGACGCCGCACTCAGCAATATACCAACTATTATATGGCAGCAGTGGCGGGGACATGCAAGTACATTTCCTCCTATTAATTGGATTTCTTCACGGCACTTGAGAAATTTGAACTTACTTATCCCTTTCAGAATTGCACAGAATATTTGCATATTGTTATTTTGCTTGTAGGGTTTTTATAGAGAGATATCCTCCGCGAAGTGAAGCACTCAGACACATCTACAGTCCTTCATTAATGCTGGCGCCAGGCTGTATTGCGTTTCACATCCTCCAAGCCCTTATCGTAATGCTATAGCTCTTACTGTTGGTTGGTTGGTTTGTTGTTTAACGCCGAACTCAGCAATATTCCAGCTATATGGCAGCGGTCTGTAAATAATTGAGTCTGGACCAGACAGTCCAGTGATCAACAGCATGAGCATAGATCTACACAATTGGGATACGATGACATGTGTCAACCAAGTCAGCGAGCCTGACCACCTCATCCCGTTAGTCGCCTCTTACAACAAGCATGGGTTCCTGAAGACCAATTCTAACTCAACTGAGACACAGTATACTGATCCAGAGCGAGCCAGTCACTGTTTTATCCCTTAATGCTACCCCTTGTGGTGGTGTGTGGTCCGGTGCATAGAGCTCAGGTCTCAAATCATATGAAGTTAAGCAATGATGGGCATGGCGAGTGCTTGGATGGGTGACCGTGTTGGGGACTCCTGAGAGTTTCTAAGACTAGACTAAGTGTACAAGTTTCTAGAATGAAGCACATGTGATACATGTGGTCTCGCCTTAGGCAGTAAAGTTGAAGTGGGTTTGTTAAAAAATTGCCTCTGTTCACTCAGCAGAAAATGGGTACCTGGTGGGATAAGTAATTTGACTATTAACCTTCTAGCGCCTTACAGGCAGCTTGGGTTAATGATAATCAGATTATATTGTTAACGCTATGAGCATTCACATAGTGAATGGAGTCTGGCACATTATAAATGCACTTATAAAAATGCACTTATTAATGCCAAGTGTTAGGCAGTCATAAAAACTGCAATCTTTTGTCCTCTTTTCGAAATGAAACAGCCTGGGATCAAACACCCAACTTTCTGCTCCCAAAGCAAACACTCCATCTGCTAACCCACATCATTTTAGACACAGACACAGACGAGATATGGTAAAACAAATTTATGATATACAAATGTATAAAAACAATAAATACAAACAATGTAAACACAACATAATATTAGAACAGTGATGCATGGACAATGTTTCAAGATGTAAATATTAATAGTGAGCAAAGTAGTATTTTACTAAACATACTCCAAATCTTTTGGCATATATAAACAGCATTCTCGCATGACTGACTCCTACTTCTCTTCTGTAAATATCATAAAATATGGTAAATATATACATTATATTAGAGCATGGTGGTAAAGATATAGAAAACTTTCCAAAACCGTTTTGTGCTCAGATTGGTCTGCATGACACAATGACATTTTATAAATCCCAGACATTTGATTGTCAGCACTATTTAACCAAGCTAAGATGTGATTAAGAAGATTATAAAGAAATAATAGCAAAACATTCTACAGGTATGAATAAGTTCTCAGAAAAGTGAACATCTAGGAAAGAAGGTTAATGGTGACACAATCAATGCATTTATAATGAAGAATCATGTTCTATTGTACTATTTAAAATAATGAAGTCAGATGCATCTTTTAAACTTTCCACCTTGAATTTGGTGACATTTTAAAACCCTTTTTTTTGTCAATCAAATAACTGCTTTTTTCAAGATGCATTCTACATCATATACCTGTTTTTGCTCCAAAGAAACAATGAGAATTTTTTACAATTTATCACAAAATGTATATTTGTAAACGGCCATATTCACCCTGATTCCTCTGCTATAAGGAGGAGTGTGATGTTATACAGACATAACATCTTTTATAGGGCAAAGAGATGTTTAACAGTTGACAAAACTATGAATGTTTTCAAAGCAACGGAAAATCCATAACAGGAAGATAAATTGATACAATTACTACAGGGACAAAGACTATATGGACAAGTTGACAAAACATTTCATCATTTGGGATACACACAGCTATTTAGTACTGGTCAATATTATTACAGAATACAGAAGTTTATTGTATTTCGGGGCCAGGAGGCCTAGAGTACAGAGTAAGATTTATTTTAAGATATAAATAATTTTTAAAGAACTTTAATACATGATACACAATGCCATTGAGAATCTGGTCAAATGCAACGCGTTCTGTTTGGGACCACGCCCTCCCAGTTAAGCACAGACTCCCGCACCCCTGCCGGGCCGAGTCCCATCTAGGACCCGGACCCACAGCCTGGCACCCACTCGCCAGCACACAGAGTCAGCCGCCCACACTGGGCGGACAGCTAGGCGGCCGACCCCGTGCACCGGCGCCCGACACTCTAGGGGTGCGGGCCTGAATCCCAGGCGGGACCCAACATAAGCACCAGAATCCGCACCCCACCAAGAAAGCGCAATCCCAAACACAACATATGTTACTAAATAATCTTGCTTTGAATACTTTATACGGAGTAGGTGGCTAAGCAGAGCAATAGATTACTATCTGTTGTTGATAACAAGGTAATAAAATGTGCAGTACATGGATGACTACAATAATACATTGGTAGAAAATGATCCCGAATGTGGGCGTAATTTGGACACATATACAGAACATGATATTCATCTTCTTCACCTTCTCCGCAGTACGGGCATAATAAATCAGCAGGGTTAATATCAAGTTTAATATCTTTCAGTATTAAGCTGAGATTTACCTCTATAGATTCACCTGCATATACCCACTTTTCAAATTTTGATAATTTTCCTCCTTTTTTTAAACACCATTATTTTGGTTTTGTCTAAATTTACTGTTAAACCACACTTTTCACAATATTCTTCTAAAATATCTATTTTTCTCTGGAGGTTGATTACTGTATCTCCAAACATAATGGCATCATCAGCAAATAAAAGCAGACCAATTTCTTCAATATCACTATCTACTAAAATACCTCGTGGGTCCGCTTGGACAATAGTTGCAGCTAACTCTTCAATATACATTAAAACAAAACTGGTGACAACATACACCCTTGACTAACACCTCAAGAAGATGAAAACATTTCTGTAAACTGGCATGGTGTACATCTCACACATGCTTTCACATTACAATAAATACTTTCTAACAATTTATATAATTTACCATGAATTCCTTTCCTAAGTAACTGAAAGAGAAGCTTGCTTCTATCGACATAATCAAAAGCCTTTTTGATGTCTATGAAAATACAATACAATTCCCTTGTTTTTTTCTAAGATACTTATACGCTAATGTATTTAAAATAAACATATTGTCAACAGTGGAATACCCATCTCTGAAGCCAGCTTGTGCTTCTGACACTGCAGAGTGTAGTTCTAACCAAAATTTTAATGTTCAGGTCAATATTATTTTATGTCATTATCAAAACCACTCGTACATGTTTAAATGTTACGGCAATCTCATCAAAATATGATGGTTTATGTCCTTCTTCTCTGTCAAAATTTTTGTAACGAACCATGAGTGAACTTGACTGCAGACGATGCATGGCATTTTGAGAAGACACGTATCTGCCAACAGACAAGGCTTTAATTCAGAAAAATTACCCCTACAAAAGAAAATAACCCAGAGCACAAACAAATTAACAAATTGTCAAATCTACATGCCAGAAGACTCAGGAATGACAGTGTATGTTTAATGTGCACAACTGTGTAAATGTGAAGCCTTTATTATTATACATTCAGAACTGTCTGTTTACAACTCTTTCTAGATAAAGAAATCACATATTGAGTTTTGAATTTATCTGTTTGAACAGAGACTTTTGAAAGATCACCTTACTTGACTCACTGAGGTTGGACAATGGTTGTGTGTCAGATCTCCATATCAGAATTTATTCAATCGGAGTAAAACATCTGAATGAAACTGAATAATATCGTCAGTGATAAGATGGCAGGATTAATTTGTATACATTTGAATAAACTCCACAATTATATTAGTTCAGTGGGACAAAGGTTACACAACCATTCTGTGTTGATTAACAACATAAACACGTAAATGGATTATGTAAAATATTTCAAGAAGATAAATAATGATAATTTGTTGTTGAGCACCTCCCTTTACACCTATTTGGTAAGGGACTGGTGATTTATTGGAGGACATTAGGGCACAGTGACTTTAGACTGGTGACAATAACATTTTCATGACCTTCCCATTGTGTAACATTCATTCAACTGTTACATAAGACATTCTTTTTACCTGCCCACTTTTAATAAATTACAAGTCCCTAAATAATGTTTGAATATATAAAAAACTATTAAAAAAATGATTTTTTTTTAGTAATATGACACCGTCCTGAAATAAATGACCCGTACTTATGTGGGAAACAAAACTTTGTCTTATAAATCCACATTTTTACACAACAAACACTGGCTCTGGAAAATATCTGTATTTAAAAGATTAATATACTCTACTATGTTTACACATGGAAACAATTCTGTTTGTGTATTTCATAAGATGAGACATGGTTTTAGTTTGTGTAACAAACACTTTGGGGGATCATTTTAGCTTATAATCTCAAAGTGTCATTAAACCAGAGGAGTTTGTTGTGGTGTGAGTATTGAATACCTGCACAGATAGACTGTGTAATCTTGTCAAGAAAATAGACTAAAGCTAGAAAATGGCTTGCATCGGATGAGGAAAACTGAGTGCTTTACAGCTAGACCCTAATGTGACTTTTAATGCATTCGCTGTAATAGGCATCTGTGATGCTCTGGAAATTGAGATCTGACAAAGTGGGCACTTTAAAAGAAAAAACATCACACAAATAAACGTTTTGATTGAGTGGTTGTGAGCAAACTTGGTTCAAACGTTGGTGAAAACGTTATTTACTGGTAGTTAACAATTACCAGCCCTGTTTCTGCAGTTTAAATATCTGTTAACATATGCTAATGTTTATTCTTCGCAGGGGTAGTGTTGTATAAATTACTTACCAACTTGACGAGACAAATGGCCACATGGAGCATTTAATGGGCAATTAATATGCTGAATATGTTATATCACACATAAAGTCTTCCAGGCTATTTCTTGATAGTAGAAAGGGACATCGAGAGATGATGACAATGGTTCCAAAGTGGTCATCGTAACTGGACACGGCACAATTACATATGAAACATAAAGTAACACTCTGACAGCTTTGTTATAATTGATGTGAATACAAAAAGGCACAATGACTGAAGATAGGTGCAAGTTATACTGTTACCTGTGCACATACTGAATGAGACGTATTTGAACAGAGGTAGACTGAGTTCACATGTTCATGCCTTTCACAGAACATGTTCAAAGCACCTTTAGATGGTAACTTAAAGACAATACCAACTTGGATTCTTGCTTTTCCACCTTGCCAGGAGTACATACTTCAACAGCTTGAACCATATATTGAACCAAATTAGTTCATGCAGTGTCACCCATGGTTGCAGGGCGACAAATCACCCTACACTTGGGTTCAAAATCATGGAAAATTGAAAATACCAATTCAGTTAAAATCATAACAACCTTTTCTCAAACGTGATTTTAATGAGCTTGGAATTACATTTGGACTCACATCCCAGCCAAGATTCACCAGAAGCTACTCTATAATGATTTGCATAAGTTTCCTCGCCAGAATGAGTATTCTGGATCTGATAAGATCATTTTATCCTACTTCATAAAATTCCGTGACATGAATAGTAAGTCATTCACTCATTGTCAATGTAGTCACTGCTCCATTGAGTCAGTTCCTCATCTTCCTGTTTTCCAGCTAAAGTTTGTGTTCTCTGAACAGCAACATATGAATATGCATAGGGTGTAAGTTGTTATAAAAACGGGGTTGCATTCTGAAGTTTCAGGTTGAAGCAGGGCAAGTTCTAAATGCATAAATCGAGTCATGAGGATGTATGTTATAACAACTTTAGGGACCGTTCATAATTTATGGCTGGGGGTGTGATGATGATTTTTAAGGAGAAGCATGTACAATGTGACTGACCCCCATTTATGTACAAAGTATGTGACTCCCCTGCATGTCATGTACAAAATCAATGCCCCCACCAATTCTTTTTAATATTTTAATATTTTTATGTACAAAATTGCTGATACCCCAGTACATGTGTACAAAATTGCCGAACTGCCCCTTCCTCCCTAGAACACCCATTGAGACATAAATTATGAATGGTCCTTGAAACATTTCTGCTTTGTGAAAGAAAGAAATCCTTTCAATATCCAGTGTTAAGAGGAAAGATACACAAAATCTAACCGACAGTTTCCATGTAAAGGCTGTCAAAATTATATATATCCATATAATCATCAATTGATAAAGAAATTATTTGTCAAAGTTCAGATGATTTTGGCAATGTTTTGAATTAACTTTAATTTAAGACATTTTAAATGTACTTTTCATACTTTAATGGACATGATTATCAACACATATTGTAGTATTCCCATCTGGGCACAATGGCCAAGATATCTGTAAAATGACAATGATGAGATTCAGTTTATGGTCTGAGGATCATATTCAGCAAAATATGTGTATGTGTAGTGACCAACAGGAATGTTGAAACTCCCCTCTTTCTGTCTACTCTCACTGTTAGTGATGCTTCAAACTAACTAGCCCATGTTAAACTAATCATGTACTTAATGATTGTCTGGCACTGTTTGCACTGAGCAACTTGTGTATATATACCACGATTCCATAAATAAAACAAATCTGAACAACTATGCATAAAAAGTAGAGGTATACAAAGATCAATTCAAAGAACTTGGGACCGTTGAAGTGAGTGAGTGAGTGGGTTTAGGTGCTGCGTTATAGCAATATTCCAGCAATAAATGGGCTTCGCACATTGTACTCATGTGGGGAATTGAACTCGCCTCTGCGGTGTGATGTGTTTTAACGTTTTAACCACGAGGATTGTTTCTTATGACTGATTTCAAGACAGTGACAGAGCATGAATAGGCAGGGAGGACTTTATTTTATTTGTTTAGTAGGCTAGAATCAATGTACAGTTGTTGTTTTTTTATGCCATGTGTCTGACCTTGACCATGCCCTCAAAACATCAGAGTGGTGAGTTAATGAAGGGACGGCACTGAACCCAAAATAACCACTGATTCATGTTCCTACAAATGTGACATCCTTTGTAAGGAATGTCATCTTTCAAAAAGTTGGAATGTAGAGAAAAAATGAACTTTGAGTTTGAAAATAATGTATATAGGTTACACCTTATCATGAAAAGCACCTAATTCATTTTGACAAACCTTATAGGGGGTTTTGCTGTTTATAATCTATGTAGTCTGTCTCAAAGTCCCCGAACCACAATTTTTTCCCTCATCCATCCATCCCTTTTAGCAAAGAACTCAGGTTCTGAATATCCCAGCTCACTTGGGATCCTTTTCAATTTAAATAATTAATTGCTTTCATCAAATCTTATATTTTCTTATATCAGTTGCCAGTCAGTCTACATCAGCAAGCACCTGGTCTGTCAGTCCATTACACTGGGCGATGCGGTCCACATGTTGTCTGTAGATGGTCATGTTGTACATGAAGTTGGGGACGCGGGTGTTCTCGAGGTCAGCATACTCCTCCAGCATTTGGATGTCTTCATGGGCGATCTTCCCCAGCTTCAGTAGTAGGCTGAAGTTGATTGTGCGTCTACGCTTCAGGATCTGAAGAGCACCTTCCAGGTACACCTGGTCCTTGCAAAACCCACCTGATACACAACAATATATTTTCAAGAATTAAGCTTAATAAAGGAAACCTTCTCGGTCATCTTCACATTATCAAAGTCTGATGCATGTTTTCATATTTATTTTCAACTTATCAAAATTAACTGAGAAATATACTGGAACTCACACACATCACCCTGGCAGTGGACCCGTGAAGATCCGGGGTAGAATAGGTCTTCAGCAACCCATGCTTGCTACAAAAGGCGACTATGCTTGTCGTAAAAGGCGACTAACAGGATCGGGTGGTCAGGCTCACTGACTTGGTTGACACGTCATTGGTTCCCAATTCCGCAGATCGATTCTCATGCTGTTGATCACTGGATTGTCTGGTCCAGACTTGATTATTTACAGACCGCTGCCATATAGCTGGAATATTGCTGAGTGCGGCGTAAAACTAAACTCACTCACTCACCCTGGCAGTGAAATGCTTCAATATCAGGAATAAAGAGATCCAATATATCATGCAGTTACTTCCCTTTGCATGCACACAAGTGAGTGAGTCAGTATGGTTTAAGCCGCTTTTAACAATATTCCAGCAATACCAAGGCAGGGACACCAGAAACTGGCTTCACACATTGTACTCATGTGGGAAATCGAACCCAGACCTTTGGCGTGATGAGTAGATACTTTAACCATTAGGCTACCCCATCGCCCCTCATACACACGGTGCGGTGGGGTAGCCTAGTGGTTAAAGCATAGGCTCGTCACGCCGAAGACCCGGGTTCGATTCCCCACATGGGCACAATGTGTGAAGCCCATTTCTGGTGTCCTCCGCCGTGATATTGCTGGAATATTGCTAAAAAAAGCGGTGTAAAACTAAACTCACTCACTCATAGACACTAGTCCTCATACACACTACAGTCAGACCTCATTTATCCTAACACTTCGGTTTTTTATTGAATTGTTCAGACAAACGAATCATTTGGATATCTGAATCAGGACCTAGGCGGTCGACTACACGTGAAAGCAAAACAACTAAAAATAACATTGAAACATAACTACATCATTATTTAACATAACATCTTGCATAACATAAATTACATCGGCTTGATAAAGTGTTTGATTGATGATTGTTGACGGACAGAGTTGTTATTTGCTGCTTTGATTTTTAACAACAGCTCCAGGTTTGTGAGGTCTGATATACGAAACTAGAATTTTTTTTCGTTTCCTTGTGAAGAATGTTCGGAAACCGAGGTATTCGGATATCTGAAGTTCGGATATACGAGGTCTGCCTGTATAAAGTCTGTTTGATTTCATTTTAGACCGATGAATTGCTCACTCACACAAAATCTAATAATTGCAACACAAACAAACTTTGCACAGTCCCATGAAAACGACAGACCAACTCTGATGCTTTGGATCATAGTTTTGGACACTCAAATAAAAAGGTTTTTTCACAAACAATCATTATTTTGTTGTCACTTTTCGCTATTTCTTACGAGGGGGGACCACTTGCTGGTAGAACAGCCAGGTGTGAGAGTGGCACGTGTGAAATTGAAATTTCAATACCGGTACACATGCTTATTGATTACCTGGCTGTCCTACAAGCAAGTGGTCCCCCTCATAAGAAATAGCGAAAAATGTACTATTAAAAACATTATAAGTGAATACGTAGTTTAGGGGTTAACTTCCTCAGGTAAGTACAGATTCTAGTAATTTTGTTTTTGTTGGGTTGAGTCCGATTTGGGATTTGAACCCACACTTTCAGAGTCAGGCACTTAATTGCCAGCATAAAAAGTCAGCCATTTCACCCACTCAGTTTTTAAACATTACAAAAGTTAACTTGTCTTCTACAAGGATTCTACCTTTGGAGATCTTTCAGAGTAAGGTAAACTGTGCAATTTGTGTGTACTAGTGCAAATTTTTCCTTTGGCATTTTACTTCAGACAAGAGGATAAAAATTAGGGTTGTCCAAATTTCATGATGTATCGCAAATTTAAACCTTTGAACTCCACCTTTTCATGAGGCTATTCACGATCCACATCCCAGTATACTTCTCAGGGAGCAGAGAATAAATTATTTTTGATAAAGAATAATGTAGCGCTTTGAGAAAGCCTTCTGGTGTGGATTTAGTGCATTATAACATGCATATTATCATCATGTTCAGACCTTCAAAAAATATCCTTACCTGGAAGCGATGTGTCCACCTGTCCCCGCTTTGCTCGTATACAGTAGTCCCACCTGACATCAGGGTCAAGGACAAACTGACCAAGGTCACGGAACAGTTCTTTGAAGGACATTTCAGATGCCTTGAATGCAGTGTAGTAAAGGAGTGCAGCCGCCACAGACAAGGGTCGGGCCGGAACAGGACGCTGTGGAGGGAGGCCAGACCCTCCTCTGTGGGGTTGAGAGGCTTTAGCCCCAGCTCCCGTCTCGTCTTGAAGTTGTTCCAGGGCTGGTAGCGGTTGTTCAGACTACGCAGATAATGGGTTCCTGTAAATTGAGAACATACTTGGTTATGCAGGGTATAATATCTCCATACTAGTATGATAAATATACTAGATCAACTCAGAAGCAAAGGTTTGTTTATGAATTACGTCAGTTGACAATTGAAGGTGAATAGGGTACATTGGCCAGATCCAAGGGGTGGGGGTGGTGGTGGTGGTCTTTAAGGGTGGGTAGGGGTGGTGTGGTGGTGGTGTGGTTCAGACACCCCCACCCAATGGAAAACATTAACTTCATGTGGACCTTTGTCATGTCCCTTCCCTTTTTGAAAATTCCTGGATATGCCTATGGGGTAATACACATTTGAATCCCAGCCCTGTCATAAAAGATAGAATGATTCAGTGAATCAAACATTATGCTTGTGATAGTATGTTTTACACTGTACGGTTTTGAATAAATACTATAAATTGAGTAAATGTGAATTAACAAATGAAAATATTTTCATATTTGGTAAATTATGGTAATGTTCATATTTTCTTTATTCAAATCAACACATATATATGTTAAGAAGACCCATAAAGATCTGGGTTAGAATTGGTCTTCACCAACCAATGATTGTTGTATTAGAGGCGACTAACTGAATCGGGTGGTCAGGCTTCGCTGACTTGGTTGACACATGTCACTGTATTCCAATTGTGAAGATTGATGCTCATGCAGTTGATCATTGGATTGTCTGGTCCAGACTTGATTATTTACAGACTGCCGCCATATAGCAGGAATATTGCTGAGTGCAGTATTAAACAACAAACAAACAAACATGTTTAGAATGATGAATTATAAGCATGTCTTACCGATTTCATGTCGGAGCAATCCCTCCGCCCACTGCTCTCGTAGGTTAACTACACGTACATTCAGCACTGGTCTGCCCTTTGACCTTGTCATAGACCCACGGGAAATAAGATCCTCACTGAGGTTTAGACAAATCTCAGACTCAAGGTCCTCCTTACGTAAGAAACGCTTGACAAGACACAAAATCTGTGGCCTTGTAAGAATGCGACCTCCGCTCTGTTCCTCAAATATTTCATAACTGCCATAACGCTGTATGGCTATGTCCATGATTAACTTGGCCTGAAATTGTCACAAAATATCCATCAAATGACTTATATAAAGGCAGAATAACTTAATTGTTATACTTTCATCTAAGGTTCCCCTACACCCTCTCTGTTCCTCAAATATTTTATAACTGACTTAACATTGTTCATGATTAGCTTAGTAAATGGTGAAAACATACAAAAAATACCATCAAATGATTTATATAAATACCTAAATTGTTACACTTTCATCCATGCTAACCCAATAACCAAACACCAGGGTTTTACACAGACTTTGGAAAAGAGAGTCATGGTGACTCCCAGTATTTATTTTTGGGAGTCATTTTCAATATTTGGGAGTCATGAAAATTTGTTTATGTGTGTATATCAAAATTTTATTGTTTTCTGTTGTATTGTCATTTATATGTTAGTTAATAAATAGTATATTTTTCACTGTTCAGTTCAGTCATAACAGACTCCAGTATACTGAACAAATAATCAGGCTTGTAATTTATTCACTGTAACATACGGTTATTAACATGAATTGAAAGAAATATCTAAATCAATGAAGATCTCACAAAAACTATCATTGTTTGCTTATCAAATTGATTTTATTGAACTGACCTCTAAGGGTCACTCATAAAACTTGCGTCTAGCTTGACTCGTATGATAATATTTTGAGAGTCTTTTACACAATTATTGCATCAAATATGCAGGAATCACACGTCATGTAAAACCCTGCAAACACCCTTCCTTCCGTCAGATTATTGTCCCTATTGATGAAGATCACTAGGCCCCATCAAATACATGTACATAGTCCAACCTATTATCTATACTTCAAGTTCAAACCAACTTCACAGTTGTCAATCAAACTGTCTTAATATTTGAAATAATACTGCTGTCCATGTCACATTTAAATAATATTACAAATATTACCGGTGCATAACAATAACATCTGTCCAGTTAGAAGGATCTCTTATTGGACCATAAATGCGAAAAACCCAACTTGTGCAAAGTATTGTGTTCCACATTACTGTTATAATGTTTAACTGTTATATGAAAGCACAATACAATTATTTCACAAGAATATTTAGTTCTCAGGTAGATTCTTGTCATGCTTATGTTAGTAAAGTATTCTCAAAGGGTCCAATTTCTACCATATACGGGAAAGTGTACATTTGAAATATATGATGCTATCCTTTATTCATAGACATGATAAAGACTGCATGGTTTCATAAACTTTTTCAATACAATTGAGAATCTGGGCAAGTAGCAGAGATTTATCTAGACCTACCAAAATGCTGATATTCTGTCCCAAGTCTGCAGATTATGTCATCAAATATTCTCAAATTGGAATTGAAAATATACCAGTTCATTTTCATCCAATATAACAAACAATAAGGCTTTGACTAATTTTTCTCTCATAACAAGACCAATAAAAGAAAGATTTATTTTTTTAGTTTTGCCTTGCCAGACCTGCCTTAATTTTGAAGACTGAATATTGCTGAGTGCGGTATTAAACTACAAACAAACTATTTCTTACCTGGGACAAGTACTTGTCTGAAGGATTAGTGAATCTACTGAGCACTTCTGGTTCAGCTGGGGTTCGGTAGATAAACAGTGGGTTATAGTTGAAGTTGGCTCTCATGAAGCGATCTTTCTCTGCACGTTCATTTTCCGGTTTGATTGCCGCTAACAATGGCACCTTTTTCCGACGTTCATGCGCTTGGGATGAAACAACTTGCCCTGGCTGTCGAGGATTTGGTGATGACAATGTATTGATTCTGTTAGGCGTGGATGCTCGGTTGATTCCAGGTAATCTCATTTTTGAGGTATAAGTGTCTCCATTTTCTCCACTACTTTCAAATGAATTTGCCATTTCATGCGAAACATCGGTGTAACTTGCAGATACTAGTGACTGTCTTTTCCTCAACAGTTTTTTTCTCTTTTTCTTTCTGCTGCCAGTTTCGGTTGGCACTTTGCTGTAACTAGGTTCAGGTACAGTCACTAAATCGAGATAGTTTGCTGACTGTATCGGTAACAATGGACCGTGGATGTCGCTCGCCATTGAACAGAATGAAAAAGTGTCCTGGATTTACAATATCCTAATGGCAATTTTGTCGAATTAGATAAATAACCACAGGTGATAATGCGAGGACTAAATGAACCAAATCATATATGTCCATCAGCTGGCAAAACCACGCAGCAAGTCATTTTGTTGAAACACGTTGTCATTGTCATTTCTGAAGAACGGAAAAACGAAGCGTCGCGGAAAGATTTTGTGTCATTGACTCAATCGACCAGCTGACCTAGCTGTCGATAGGTAAGGGATTATGACAAGATTGTGCCTCAAGCATAACACAAACTAACTACTCTAGCACATTTCGTTGACTAACCCAGAAAAACATCTATTGCTGTCATTTCACATAATGTCCTAATTTTGTTCATTTATGAAACACGTCACTCAGTGGCAAACGTAAACATTGCTTTCGGCAGCCATATTTTCCTGTTTGTCATCGCCCTGGCAACTCACAGGAAGTTAACAGTGCGCGTTGAAGAGTTATTGCCCTTGGACCATGCGATGGCGGTGAGGTGAGGTGAAATTGAATTTAACGTCGTGCTTGAGAATATTTCGCTCATATGACGACGTGCATGCGTGTGTATGTGTATGTGCATGTGCGGCTGCTTGTACTAGCCCAGACTTAAGCTGGTTATATAGTGCTAGCCCACTGAGATACCATGCCGCAGTGAAGCATGAATACCCCACTCAGACACATTGTACTGACTCCGAGCCGACCAGTCCTTGTTGTACCCATTAATGCCGAGCGCCAGGCAGGGACCAACAAGTACCAAATTTTAACGTCTTTTGGTATGACGCGGTCGGGGATCGAACCCGCGACCTTCCGCTCTTCGGGCGGACGCTCTAACCACTACACCACGGAGGCGGTCTACGATGGAAATTAAAGCGTTGGTAAACACGTTATGATCAGTATGTCGGTTACATCAAGAAGGAAATATATTTATCATCTATGGGATGACAAAATAATAATAAAACAACAACAAAAACCCAACAACCACCAACTGACAAACAACCTACCAACACTAATGAAATAAAAACAAAACATTAATACTAATAGCTAAAAAAATAAATAAATAAATTTTCCACCCTCCCTCTCAAAACCCCTGACAACTCCCACAATAAACAAATGTTGATAATTCTATTAAAAAACCCAACTAAATTAAGTCTTACGAACAACAATACGTTTTCAATTCAATACCATGAATCAAAGACTGTCCTGCCCAATTTTTACCAAGGGATTCGGAATTGTACGTAGTAAAAGGATATTCAGGACACAGCAATGTTGTTGGGATGTCAATAAAATAGAATTGGTACAAATAAATTAACATTGTAATATTAAAAGGAAATGGTTACTTACAGTATTTACGTTTTAAGTGCTATTTGAGTATTGTGTTAAGATTATTCGTTCAGATAGGGGAAGAGGATATGTGTGTGTGTCCGTGTGTGCGCACGCGTGTGCACGTGTTGCTGGGGTTAATTAAGGCTTCACGCTCACACTTCACCAGAACACAGTTTGCATTTACGTATTCGCTATCTGTATACGGAAAGATTTGGTAGATAATGTAGAGTAGACACATTACTGTATGCATATGTATCGTATACGTGTGCTTACCAATGCAAGTGATTTAAATCTATGATAACATAAAGATAGCATATCTATCTTATAATTAAATGGAGTAAATTAGTTGTACATAGAATGTTGACATTTGGTGCACAGTTTATCCGCAGAATACACAGACGCATTCACATATATCGTATAATGATTTAGATCATTGAAACATGAGCGATATACATGATTGAAGGCAGTCATTTAAGCATTTTCTGCAGAATGTTGGCGCATTTGTTATCGCATATGTATATAAAGAGCGCACAGATACATGCTTATGTATACACAAACGTGCTTTACGCTATATATGAGGTCGATTATCATCTTGAGAAAGTCTCTTCTTAATTCTAATGATTTGAAAAAAAGCTCTGAATAAAAGGTAATGAGTAGTCTTACTCCACTTTGTCGAACTTTGATTTCTCGACCTCACGGTTTGATCCTTGTGTGGGAGGTTTTTTGTTTTTTTCTATCTCATCACCATTTTCTGGTTGAGTTGAACCTCAGAAAACTCGAAGTATTTATGCAGGTCCCTCCAATTTCGAAGGGCAGGGATGTAGCCTAGTGGTTTAAAGCGTTCGCTCGTCACGCAGGAGACCCGGGTTTGATTCCCCATATGGGTACTATGTATAAAGCCCATTTCGGGTGTCCCCCGCCGTCATATTGCTGGAATATTGCTTAAAGCATACCTCCTCACTCACGTTGCAAATCGTCAAACATGTGTTACCGTATAGCACACAAAGTAAGTGAGTGCTGCAGACGTTATAAAATTCAGCCTAATGTCAAACATGTGTTACCGTATAGCACACAAAGTAAGCGAGTGCGGCAGATGTTATTAAATTCATCCTTACGTCAAACATGTGTTACCGTATAGCACACAAAGTAAGTGAGTGTGGCAGACGTTATAAGATTCAGCCTAACGTCAAACATGTGTTACCGTATAGCACACAAAGTAAGCAAGTACTGCAGGCATTATAAAATTCAGGTCACATGAGGAACAAATTTATTCCTTCCAGTTTTGTTGCAGAAGCTATGAAGTCAGAGAGAGTGATTATGGTTTTACGCTGCTTTTAGCAATATTCCAGCAACATCACGGCAGGCGACACCAAAATGGGCCTATGGAGTCAGAAATAAAGAACTATAAAATATTCACCAAAAATACATAAGGCAGCCTTTAATTTTTCCATTTGGAGCTGCCTGTTTATGTTCATTTTCAAGGTACCTGTGAAGATTTGGGTTACAACTAGTCATCAGCAATGTTGTAAGAGGCAACTAAAGGGATCGGGTGGTCAGGCTCGCTGACATGTTAGCCACATGTCATTGTATCCTAATTGCATAGGTCGATGCTCATGATATTGATTTAATCACTGGATTGTTAAGTCGATTATTTACAGACCACCGCCATGTTGCTGGAATAATGCTGAGTGTGCTGTTACAAAGCAAATAAACAAAACACGTTCGAGAAATTCAGATAAGCTGCCTTGAAAACCTTGCAAATCTTTACTGCAAATGTATAAGCCTTGATGGCAATTGGTTGATTTGAAAAATATTCACATACTGATTTGTCAGATCTTGATACGGAGGAATTTGAAATAGAGAGCCGATACTAACATGTGGACAATTCCATCATTACATGATAAAGTGATCTGTTGATATTGAAGTATGTGCAATGTTATTATTTATGACATAATTTTCTGAAAAAGAAATCACCTTCTTTTATTGATGTATATTACAAAAGGATAATCATGTAAGTTAGTTGCATCAACATTTGAGATGAAGTGTTGGCACACACACAATGTGATGACACATTTTAAAGTGTATCAACAAACTCTTCCCTAGACAGGATAACAGTCATACAAGACACTGCTGATTGGTCAGCACACACTGCAGGCATGTGGTTTGGCGTGTATCACGTGTTGTCCACTACTAACACAGATCGCGCCGGATAGCCCTGCAACTCGGCCACGACGTATCGGTACTCGTACTTCCCTGCATCATTCTGAAACAAGCAGCAAGTCAACGATTTAGTACAATGAATCTCAAATAGGTGAGGTGAGGTGAAATTGGGTTTTACATCGTGCTTGAGAATATTTCGCTCATATGACGACGGGCATGCATGTGTATGTGTATGTGCAGCTGCTTGTACTAGCCCAGACTTAAGCTGGTTTTATAGTGCTAGCCCACTGAGATACCTTGCCGCAGTGAAGCATGAATACCCCACTCAGACATATTATACTGACTCCGAGCCAACCAGTCCTTGTTATACCCATTAATGCCGAGCGCCAGGCAGGGACCAACAAGTACCATATTTTAACGTCTTTTTGGTATGACGCGGTCGGGATCGAACCCGCGACTTTCCGCTCTCTGGGCGGACGCTCTAACTGCTACACCACGGAGGCGGTAGAATCTCAAATAGATGTCCATGGTTACTGAATCATTAAAGACAATTGATTATTGTTGTTATTATTCTGTTTGTGGTTTAATGCTGCACTCCATTGCTTGGTTTGTTGTTTAACGCCGCATTCAGCAAGATTCCCATGATCAACAATATGAGCATCAGTCTACACAAGTGGGATGTGATGACCTGTGTCAACCAAGTCAGCGAGTCTGACCACCCGATCCCGTTACTTGCCTCCTACGACAAGCATGGGTTACTAAAGACCAATTCTAACCCGGATCTTCCCGGGTCTCCAAAGTATAGAGACATGTGGGGAATTAAGTATGATCACTTTTTTTGGAATGTAACGATTACCTGCTTCATCTCAGCGGTAACCGTAGCCTTTCCATGCGGGCCTTCAACATAGAATCGCATCCTCATGTATTTCACGCCACCGCTCTCAAACTCTTGATGGCTGCAACAGAATAGAACACTGTAACCTCCTTGCCAACTACTGTTATGGTTACAACAGAATACAACACTGAAACTTATTTCTCGACTACTGTGTTGGTTACAACAGAAAACAACACTGTTACTATCTCGTCAACTGCAGTTATGGTTACCATTGAATACAACACTAACTACAACAGAATACAACACTGTAACTACCTTGTCAACTGTTGAGATGGTTACAACAGAATACAGCAATGCAATCACCTTGCCAACTATTGAAATAGTTACAACAATAATACAACAATGTTACTACCTTGTCAACTGCTAAGGTGGTTGCAACAGATTACAACAATGTAACCACCTTGTCAGCTACTGTGATGGCTACAACAGATTACAACAATGTAACCACCTTGTCAGCTACTGTGATGGCTACAACAGATTACAACAATGTAACCACCTTGTCAGCTACTGTGATGGCTACAACAGATTACAACAATGTAACCACCTTGTCAGCTACTGTGATGGCTACAACAGATTACAACAATGTAACCACCTTGTCAGCTACACAACAGATTACAACAATGTAACCACCTTGTCAGCTACTGTGATGGCTACAACAGATTACAACAATGTAACCACCTTGTCAGCTACTGTGATGGCTACAACAGATTACAACAATGTAACCACCTTGTCAGCTACTGTGATGGCTACAACAGATTACCAATGTAACCACCTTGTCAGCTACTGTGATGGCTACAACAGATTACAACAATGTAACCACCTTGTCAGCTACTGTGATGGCTACAACAGATTACAACAATGTAACCACCTTGTCAGCTACTGTGATGGCTACAACAGATTACAACAATGTAACCACCTTGTCAGCTACTGTGATGGCTACAACAGATTACAACAATGTAACCACCTTGTCAGCTACTGTGATGGCTACAACAGATTACAACAATGTAACCACCTTGTCAGCTACTGTGATGGCTACAACAGATTACAACAATGTAACCACCTTGTCACCTACTGTGATGGCTTGGCAACACTGTACAACTTGTGGCTACAACTGCCAATTAAAACTAAAGGGAACAATTATGACTTCAATGTAATTATATTTACAATGTGGTTACATTAATGTAGGTTCTGTTCTACTATTACCTGACATGTCTTCTACGCCGACGTCGTGTCATCTCACCGTAGCCTTTCAGTGGCTCTCCCAGCATACTAATCAACTGAAACAGAATCATGAATATCAAAATAAATTAGTGAGTGAGTGAGGATGGTTTTATGCCACTTTTATCAGTATTCCAGCAATATCAAGGGGACACCAGAAATGGGCTTCACACTTGTACCCATGTGGGGAATCAAACCAGGGTCTTCGGCATGAAGAACTAATGCTTTAACCACTAGGCTACCCCACCGCCCCTTTTCAGTTCAAAATATACATCACAAATCAACACATGCATGGTGTAAGGTTAGAACTGTATATGACCGTAGATAAGCTGAATATTGAGGACCAAAAAATAGCATTCTGTAAAAAGGGGTCGGCTTATCTATATATATTTTACTCATTTTTGTGGTGGTAAGAAAACATCATTGTATCTCTTTGTGTGAAAGAACAAGAGAAAATTACCACTGTCGGTAAAGACGTTAAATTTGCAATTAAACATCACTTGACAAATTATTTTTCTTTTCAGTTCTAATTTGTTTCTGCTAGGCATTGTAGTGGTACATCATCAATATTAATTGCACTCCACCATTAGATACATAGAAGTTGTGGCCTGGATAAAATTTCTATGGCATTGTCACGTTGGTGAGTAGAATGGTTTGGTTTGGTTGTTGTTTAACGCCGCACTCAGCAATATTCCAGCTATATGGCGGCGGTCTGTAAATATTCAAGTCTGGACCAGACAATCCAGTGATCAACAGCATGAGCGTCAATCTACGCAATTGGGATACGATGACATGTGTCAACCAAGTCTGTGCCTGACCACCCGATCCTGTTAGTCTCCTCTTACGACAAGCATGGGTTACTGAAGATCAATTCTAACCCGGATCTTCACGGGTCATCAGTAGAATGAAGTTGATGTGTTTAACACCTACCTGATCATTCTCCATACATTTCTTCAGAGCATCTCCGTATATCCCACTTGGACTCTGGGATGAGAACAGCTCTCGGCCAACCACATAGAATATGATCCCTGTTAATCACAAATATGTCAATAAAATAACATGTAAAATTTAGGCAGCAAAAAGATATAATTTACATCAAAACCTATTGATAAATGAACAGGCCACAAGCCTTTTTGTCCCATTGGAAGAAACTCATTGATGTTCACAGCACAAGGAAAATAGTCTTTTCAAAATCACAACAATCTCGATAATCTGCCTTATCAATGTATCTGTACATTTTGAGTCCATATGTTTTGTCAATACAGAAGTGTGATCACCCAAGGGAAGCAACTTTGCACAATGAATTGCATCTGTTCATACAACTGAGCCACTGTGACCTCTGAACCCCGTTTTTAACAACAGTTGTCAGAAAAAAGCTGAAGCAGAATGCCAGTTGTTTTGAGGATGAATAATATTAAGGTATTAACCTTTCTTCAATATTTTATTATTTTTAAATTTTTTCATATTATATTTTTGCAGGTTTCATGTATGTTGAGCTGGAAATCCAAAGAATACATAATATTTTGTTGGTTTAAACAAAACTGGACTACGTACCTGTTATACCAACACCAACTAGAATGACCAAGCCATAAGAGATATCTTTGCCAGCTTCCTTTACTGGAAACAAATAGAACAATGTGATCACCATGTCATTTAATATCATAATCATTACATTATTTGGTTGAGTGTGATTCAAAGCTGTATGTTCAAGAGGCCAAGATTATATAACAAAAATTTCCACCACGCATTGACTTTACTCAAATGAGATGCCAAATGCTTCAATGTTTTATAAAAATTGCTTGCATATATATTTAAGTTGGTTTTGATTAGGTATGACATAAGGCAGAACATACCTGCTTAGTAAACTTACTCAATGACATAATACTTTGGTGAGTAAAATGACTGAAATACGCACATATTTGAAAGCAGTGGGTAACAGAAAATGAAATACCCACTCAACATTCATAATACCCTCGTCCAAAACATACAGTGGGTACAGTACCCACATGAGCTAATCTTATCTGGAGCTCTGCTTCACATTAAGTAAGTATGACTGCATCAAATATACTCATCAATATATAAAAGTGTTCAGTACATATTCAAACATGCATCATCACACATCACCATGCTTTGTTTCTGGCATGAGTGAGTGAGCTTGGTGCATATTTGACTCTTAAAGTGGAACATTACACTGCAACAATTTTAAAGCAATACATTTCTATGAATTTTTAATAATTAAACTTAATATTCATAAAATGCCAAGGAAATAGTGCACCTTCAAGTTAATAGTGAGTGAGTAAGTGAGTTGAGTTTTACGCTGCTTTTAGCAATATTCCAGCAATATCACAGCACCAGAAATGGTGCTTTCCACATAGTGAGTGAGTGTGTGATCCATGTAGGGAATCAACACAGCAATATCAAAGGACCAGAAATGGGCTCCACAAATTGTATCCATGTGGGGAATCAACACAGCCTTTGAACTTTACGATGGACTACCCCACCGCCTCCTCAAGCTGATAACTTTGTTGTTGATTTACATAACATTTTCACATAAAATATAGCAGCTAAATCTCAGATTTTAGGTAAAAGATTGATGACCCACTGCAGTCTTGTGAAAGCTTAAGAAGCACTATGACATCTTGCCTCTTGTGAGTGAGTGTGTCTTAAACATATTGAACAGTCTGGCACAAGGGCACAGCACGCAATGACACTGCTCTAAAATATAAAACAACGTCACTGCATTAGGCATTCGTAGCTGAGCAGTATGCAACCATAGTAACTAGTAAATGCAAGCTTGTAAACGCAGAGTTGTACATTGCTGAGATCTAACAGTGAATTTAGGACATGCCGGGTCAAGTGATTCTGTGTTACTGACCCTTTTCTCCACGTGTCAGACCAGAATAAGGACCCTCTTTAGCTTCAACAAGGTCCTTCTTATTTTCTGTCGGTTTTTGTGTTGCATAGAACCTTGGACTTTGTAGCCTTTTCGTGAACTGCGCGTCTCCATTTAAACATGCGATTGCTATAGGTTTTCTATTCGATGTGCACAGCAAACGTCTGTACGATGTCCTAGAATAAAAATTGTCGCTACGTATAAAATGAAAGGCATTGTTCCATGAGGGAACACGTTTGAGTAGCCGTGATAATTTTGTAATTGTTTGATTCATTCTCTTGATCTATGCTATAATGTCAAATTGTATAGACTTCAAACTTTCCCAAGCGTGTTGTGGAACGTCTTCAGGTTAGAGTTATCTACCCTTGGTACATTACCCCTAAAACTACTTCTACTTGCTAAAACGGGTACACGAGAACCGAGATTTTAATCTACGCAAATATTACGCCGATTGTTGAAGCAAAAAGGTGAGGGTGAGGTGAAATTAGAATTAGAGAGGGGGAGGGGGGCACTAAAACATTCTAAAAGTATATCCAAGTGAGTGCGTGTTATTTACGTATTCAACAATATCACAGCAAAATATTGCCAGCCTGCAGATAATGGACAGACAGACCGCTGGTTGATAATATGAACATGTGAAATAAAACAGGACACCGAAGACATCCGATCCATTTCTGCCGCCTCTTACTACCAAAGCCCGGTCCACAAAGCAATCCTAGCTTTAGTGATCTCACCCAAATCATTTAAAATGGTCTATTGCAACGGCCCCCCGGGCTCATATTTGCGCATGTCTGTAAATCGTATCAGTATTCATGACTGGCGGAATGATAAAGAGGTAAAATTCACAAATATTGTCTGTGTACAAAGAATAGCTATTTACAGTCACAGAGTATCTTGCAATGAAAATATATCACCAAGCAGGAAACATAAGATCATCTGACTTATAGGTGTGATCTCATCTACGATGTATTTACTGTTATAGTGTCCTTCGTAGACTTGCACAAGTCTCTAAGGTAATAATTAATTGTTTAAATAATAATTTCTATTTAAAAAATGGGGCGAAGGGATAGCCTAGTGGTTAAAGAGTTCGCTCGTCACACCGAAGACCGGGTTCGATTCCTCACATGGGTACAATGTGTGAAGCCCATTTCTGGTGTCCCCCGCCGAGATATATATATTGCTGGAATATTGCTAAAAGCGGCTTAAAACTAAACTCACTCACTCACTCTGCAAAAAAACATATAAATAACAGACTGGGTACTGTCCGCTTGTGTAGAATTACCTCTTTAAAGGATAGAATAACTATACATCCATGGGGCCTGCATTCAGTACAGCCTTACAGCAAGGCTAGATCCTTTGCTTCAGTATGTGTGTAGGCCATGTACCGTAGGCCTAGAGCCTCTTCGGGGGGCTGTAAATAAAGTTTGTTTAATTATTTATTGCTTGATGTTCTAGATCAAATATATTGACAGAGCAACAAGTGTTGGAATGACCTGATTTCATTTGCAATTTTGTGGGGTGGCATAATTATGGACAATCTCACCCAAGTGCCTACTAATATCAACTACAGCAATATGAGTTGAAAAAGTTACAAAGTGTTACTTTTATATAGTGTTGATAGATTTGATGTCAGAAGACACGAGGGTGAGATTCTATTTATCATCAAAAATCACTCTTCATTAGTTTTCAATGAATAATATTCATCTTTGAACACGGTACGGCCATTAGACTTGCAGTACAAATGTCATAGCATTGTGACGTCATGAACTTTATGACGTCACAGCATTGTTCCCATTTTTGACGTCATAGCATTGTGATTCATGTAATTGATGACGCAAGGGCATGGTTCAAAATCTACTATATTTCCAGTGGAACACAGCTTTGGATGATGAGCCTGACATGAAGACCAACAAACAAAGACACTAAAATACTAAACGAACATGGAGGGACATGTTCACAAACCCACATAACAAAATGCAACAACATTTCCTGTAAAATGCACACGTTAGCAACTCTCTACAGCGAACAAATAGTTGATCCCCGACAAGCCCACAGTCCACCGAATACTCCGTATTTCTTGTCCTCTTTCTCATCTCTAACCTCCAGAAGTAAGAGAGCGGGTCGGCGAAAATTATTAACAGTTTTTCACTAGTAATTTGGTTTTTATTAAATGTTAAGATTTAAATTACTAATTTAAATTCTTTACATTTATTTAAGAAGTAGAAACATTTGTAACAAATGTAGGTGAAGAAATATAAAGCTGGCCTGTACATTGTGAGTGTGCAAGGGAAATGGTCTAGAAGCCAGACCCCAAAAATGGTGAAAATGTGGTGCAATTCTGGCGACCGAATGGGATGTGATATTCCACAATCAGGAATGATTTAGCTTTGATTTAAAGCCGGTTGTCATCAGCTGCCATACGTGACTATCGTGCAGGGGCCCTTTTAAGGTGCAACATGTCATTTCAGTTATGGTCATATTTTAACCGATGACTGGATGGTTTAATTTGAAAACAAGATTTAATATTAACTCTGGTTTGGATTGACCGATTTTCATCAAAATACTAGTTTTGGAATGCTCAGATCATGATTTAAAATTGTGGACAATAATATTACATATATACTCATCACAAAAATATTTTCGTAAGATCAAAGGTCAATTCTAAAAGAGAGTGCATTTTATAAATTAAATGGTAATTTTACTAAAATTATGTTTTTCTAATTCAGCTATATCATTTGAAGATCATATATACGTTTGGTTACACTATATGCATGAAACACCATTACAAGGAAACAAAAGTTGGTACTTTGTTTTTAGATCAGCAAAATATTACATAATGTCTGTAGAACAGTAACAGTTCCAGTTAGTATCAACTACACCAAATATGATCGTTTTACGGATCCAACATATTTGTGAACCTGTGAGAATGTTTAATGAATATATGCATATTCAGTCTCATGAGATAGATTGTAGGTCATTCCAAATGACAACACTATGTATGTCGCCAATATCAACTGGTCCCTGCACTAGGCGGATCCAGAGCGAGGGTGGAGGGGTGCGCAACCCCCCCCCCCCCTTTTCTCAAAAAGCTGTATCCGCCCCATTCTCTTCCCACAGAGGTTACTTGTATCCGCCCCTGTCTGCAGAAGTCGTACCTCAGCGAGGGATTTGCCCAGTTACATTTAATCACTATCAGCTATTCAATACACGCACAGGAGTTGGTACAGACGTCGGCAGATGCTTTACAATTAAATTTGACGCGGTAAACCTTGGAATCGTACATACATATTGACAGTAGTGGGTGACCTCGCGTAGATGGATACTAAAAGACCAACTGTCGTTCATTTCCCGAAGTCAGTATGTTCGCATGACTACGTTGTCAGTCAAGCGGAGAGTTAGTGAATTGACAATAGTGATCTGCATCAGCTGATGAACGTCAACAATACGTCAGTCCTGAAATATTGACAGACCTCACCTAGATGAACCCTACAAAGTCGGCTGTAGTCATCTGCATTGTTCCAACAGACATTATGAAGCCATCAGCTGTGATCAGCAGAGCGTGTTTTAAATGAAGGACATCTTCTGCTTGCCCAAATCTATGTATTTTTTTCCAAATCTATTTATTTATTTTCCAAAACATTCGCTCTGTATCGCTGGGACCTTACAAAACCTACTAATATTCCGCACTAGTGGTTAGATCATGCTTCGATTCATACCAAAAGAAAAATATGGTACTTTGGTCCTCGCTCGGCATTAATGGGTAGAACCTGGTCAGTCAGTCGTGTCTGTATCGCTTCACTGCGGATCTCAGTGGGCTAGCACTATGCAAACAGTTCAGTCTGTCTCAAGCAGCCGCCAAACATCCCGCCCAACCAAATTTCTGCAATGCGTTAAACCCAGTCCAAACCAAACATGGAACTTTCTCTGCAATAGTCCAAAATGGAGCTAGTCCAGCCTCCCACTGGTTCTGAATCTCCGACCTCAAAGGGGACTAATTCAGCATAAACCGACTTATCTATTTCTATCAAATTTCCTATTTTTAGAGACTTACGCTTTGCATAAAGTGCCAGGATCCTGTAATTATGGATCGACACATGCCCCGGATATGCTTATTGGTTTTTCAAGACCATACCTATATTTCTGACTTTCTCACACATTAGACACAACTGTTGTAAGATCCAATATTCAGCTTGCACCCTGTGTAGCCTTTACATGGCATTGGGTTTTGTGCGTGTGTTTGTTTGTTCCTTGTTTCATTTGTATGGGCTGGGGCTTTTCAAGATGAAGTCCATCTAAGCAGGATAAATTGATTATTTTCTGACTAACACAGAAGTAGCGAATGAAGTGACCTATTTTTGTTTTGTACCATAAGCTCCCGTTTGTTTCTAGTGACTTGATTGTGTGTGTTTTTGTAACGGGTACTAAAGGTAGGACAAAAGGTGCTAACCTTTTCCTCAAACACACTTCAAATCAAGAAGGGTGTCTTTTTGGGTGATCGGAAAAAAAGTCACAGGAAAAATAAGTCACATTAACTGTTTTGTTATCTGTTTAATTCTGATCATAAATCACAGGATCAGTCACAGGATCAGTCATAAATCACAGGATCAATCACAGGATCAGTCATTAATCACAGGATCAGTCACAGGATCAGTCATAAATCACAGGATCAGTCATAAATCACAGGATCAGTCACAGAATCAGTCATAAATCACAGGATCAGTCACAGAATCAGTCATAAATCACAGGATCAGTCACAGAATCAATCATAAATCACAGGATCAACCACAGAATCAGTCATAAATCACAAGATCAGTCACAGAATCAGTCATAAATCACAGGATCAGTCATAAATCACAGGATCAGTCACAGAATCAATCATAAATCACAGGATCAGTCACAGAATCAATCATAAATCACAGGATCAGTCACAGAATCAATCATAAATCACAGGATCAGTCACAGAATCAGTCATAAATCACAGGATCAGTCACAGAATCAATCATAAATCACAAGATCAGTTACAGAATCAGTCATAAATCACAGGATCAACCACAGAATCAGTCATAAATCACAGGATCAACCACAGAATCAATCATAAATCACAGGATCAGTCATACAGAATCAGTCATAAATCACAGGATCAATCCACAGAATCAGTCATAAATCACAGGATCAACACAGAATCAGTCATAAATCAAAAGTCAATCACAATCAGGATCAACCACCAGAATCAATCATAAATCACAGGATCAATCACAGAATCATAAATCACAGGATCAATCACAGAATCAGTCATTAATCACAGTCAGGATCAGTCACAGAATCAATCATAAATCACAGAATCATAAATCACAGGATCAGTCACAGAATCAGTC